AAAAAAAAAAAAAAAAAAAAAAAAAAATTACAATGAAAGTTTCATATGCCGAGAAGGAGAGAAATCTCTTAGGCTTCTGCAGAGTGCAGAGTAAAGATTGGGAATCTTAATATTCCCCACCCACCTTTTTTTTGGAAAACTTTCAAATTTTCAGAGATGTTTATGAAATCAGTTCTTGAAAGATCTTTGCTTTGCTTTACCAGTTGTTGGGATTTTGCTATATTAATGTACTTACTTGCATTTGTTAAATCTCTTGCTGTTTGTATGTAGGTGTATTATCTGTACATTTGTATGTTTTAGTTTATGTATCTGTTGAACTATTTGGAATTAAGTTGTAGACATCATAGTACTCCTGAATATTGCAATATGTATCTCCTAGGAACAAAAGACTTGTTTTGCATGACCACACTTTCTTGTTACATCCTTACCATTTAACCAAATATCCAAAAATTCCTTGTTTCTTAATAACGGTTATTATAGACTTCTGGAATTTTTTAATCCAGGAACCAATCGAGGATCATGTATTGCATTTTGTCATTATGCTACCTTAGTTTCCTCTAATCTATTCTAACACTCACCACCCCCCCATGCTTTTAACATTTTGCCTTGTAGAAAGTTTTAGATTGTCTTGCAGATGTATTTGTCTGATTATTTCCTCATTATTTGATCCAGGTCAGACATTTTGGCAAGAATATTATATTGATGAAGTGATTCAGTGAGAAGTTCATAATGTCATGAGGCACATAATGATGAGTGATTCCATTATTATTATTGTTATTGTTATTATTATTTGGTACCGGGGATCAGACTTGGGTCCTTGCACTTGTGAGACAGGTGGTGGCGCCTCTGAGCTAAATCCCTGGCCCGATTCCATTATTTTTGATGTTAAGTGTGATTACTTGTTAGAGACAAGATAGTTTCAGAATGGCTGTGTGATTATTTCTATTAACAGCGAACTTACTAGAGTAAAATATGTAATGGAAGGTGAAGATACTACTTTTTGTTTCTCCCTACATCCTGTTGAATGCATGCTATGAGGACATGGGCGTTGTCCTGAATTTCATGCTCTGTTTGATACAAGTCTTTATTGTGTTGGCCACTTCCACTGAACTAGAGATCCTGGTGCTTCTGTAGTTCAGAGTGGAGGGATTCATTATTTTTAGCTGATGATAGAAACAGTGGAGAATGAGCACAGATGCTTGTCTCATGGCCTGTCTCCTATTAGGTATGTCTAAAGGTTGCAAATTAAGACATTTCTGAGCTGCTTTTATAAGTCTTACAGAGCTTTATTACTAACCCCTCCATTCTCAAACCCTATTTGGTTTGGCCTTTTCTCAGGTGTAGCTATCACAACACCAGATTTACTTCTCTGGCTGTGATTCGTATCTATTTCTATTTCAGGCGGTGCTGATGCAGTCACGGGAACAGGTTTCAGAAGAGCTGGTGCGGTTACAAAAAGACAATGACAGCCTCCAGGGAAAACATAGCTTGCATGTATCATTACAACAAGCAGAAGACTTCATCCTCCCAGATACTATAGAGGTAATGGCATTTTCCACATGATCGAATATGTTGTAGGTTATTTTTTAAAACTATTGAGATACAGTTTATAACACTAAACTGTGCAACTTTTTTTTTTTGTGTGTGTGTGCTGGGGTCTTTGCGCTTGCGGTGGAACCACTGAGCTAAATCCCTGGCTTGCAACCTTTTTTTAAAACAAGAATATTCGCAAGGGCTGTGGATTTAGCTCAGTGACACCACACCTACCCAGCAAGCGGAAAATCCTGAGTTCAATTCCAGATTGCAGGGGGTGTGATGCACAGATAAATGCAACCGCCACCACAATAAATTTTGGGACATCTTCATAACCTCAGAGAGAAACCCCTTACCCTTTAATTCTCACTCCTGTTCCCCCTTGCTCCCAATGGTAACCAATTACTAATCTACTTTCTATCTCTATCGTTCCTGTTCTGGACTTTTATGTGAGTGAAATCATATACTTTGGTCTTTTGTGACTGGATTCTTTCATTTAGCATGTTTTTGGGATATGTTTATGTTTTAGCAAGTATTAGCACTTCATCCCTCCTTATAGAAGGAAAATAGTCCATTATATGGATATTTTATTTATTCATCTGTTAGTGGATATTTATTTTTTCCTTGTTAGGGCTGTAATGAGTATATACCTAGTAGTGGAATTCCTGGGTCATGTGAGAACTGTTTACATTGTTATGGAATTGTTAAATTGTTTCTAAAACAGTAGCATGGTACTTTTTTGTCTTCCCACCAGCAGTTTGTGAGGGCTTGAATTTCTCCACATTCTTGCCAGTACTTGTTGGTATTTCATTTTTTATTATAGCCATACTAGTGGGTTAGAAGTGGTGTCTTTTTGTGGTTTTTGATTTGCATTTTCCTAAATGACCAGTGGTATTGAGCATTTTTAATGTGCTAATTGGCTGTTTGTTTATCTTTCCTGGAGAAATATTTATTCAAATCTCTTGCTCATTTTTAAATTGGGTTTTTTTTCAGTACTGGAGATCAAACTCAGGACCTTATGCTTTCCAGGCATGTACAGTGCCACTGAGCTACATACTCAGCCCTAGTTACCTTTTTTTTTTGGTACCAGGGATCAAACTAGGGTCCCTGCGCTTGCAAAGCAGGTGCTGGAACCACTGAGCTAAATCCCCAGCCCCCTAGTTATCTTTTTATTATTGAGCTAAAATGATTGTATTTATATTTGCTAAGTAGAAATTCTGTATCAGATATATGATTTGCAAATATTTTTTCCCATTCTATGGATTGTGTTTTTCATTTCATTTCCTTGATGGTATCCTTTGAAGAACAAAGTTTTAAGTTTTGTGAAGTCCACTTAACTTACTTTTTCTTCTGTTGCTTGTGCTTTTGGTGTCATAAATAGGATCCTTTACCAAGTTCAAGTTCAGTGTGTTAGGCAGGATCAAATGAAAAGTATGTCAGAAATTAAGTATTTGTTAGGAACACCCAGGTTGGCTCCTTGTGGTACTGTATTTGTTTTTGTGCCCACCATTTAAGAATTATATCAAGAATTACATCACACCTGTCATCTTTCTGTCCATAAAGATGATACTTTTTATATTTTGTGGTTGAGTGAATCTAAAACCAATTTCCTTGAGAAATTCATAACTTTTCCTTTATCCAAACCTTATACGTATGTATTTCTGAATCTTTCAGCATAGGAAAATATTGTGGAAAGGTATGATGTCACATGCCTGTAATTTCAGCACTTGGGAGGCAGAGGCAGAAAGATAGTGAATTCAAGACCAGCCTGTTTAAGCCAGGTGTGGTGGCGTACGCCTGTAATTCCAGTACTCAGGAGGCTGAGGCAGGAGGATCGCTGTGAATTTGAGACCAGGCTGGGCTACATAGTGAGTTCCAGGTCAACCTCAACTAGTGAGACCCTGTCTCAACACCCCCCCCAAATTAATGAATAAGTAAATAAATGCAATTATTTTCTTAAAAGTTCATATTTGCTTCTAAGTTAGACTTTTTTCAGTTAAGCTGTTATTTATAGTGAATCTTGTGTAATAAGTCATTTAACCCCTTGACCGTGCCAACGGAAACAGAACACAGCACACCATCTTTTCTCGTGGATGCTAGGAGTGTGGCACCATGTGTGTGGCCCAGTGGAGAGGGCAGCATGGCCACAGGTGCAGACCATGCAGAAGGGGACTGCACTGGCAGCATGTGTTACTGGTTCCAGAATATTTAAAAGATGCTTCAAAGAAAATGAAAAATGGCCTTACGTTCATAAAATCGGTAAACCCATGCTCAGGGGATGGAGCCATTTACTTGTTCAATATGTGTCTGAAGCAGCTGTTCAAAATCAAAGTTTTCAAGGAAAAACACCATTCCTGGTTTATAAATGAATCAGTTCAGTCAGGAGGTCACTTTGCTACACCTGTGGACCCTCTGTTTCTGCTCCTCCATTAACTCATAAAAGCTGGTGAAAGGAAAAATTTCAGCCCCTAGATCAAGTTGTGATGGATGATGTGTTTCCAAATTGCATCTTGTTGCTGAAACTTCCTGAACTTGAGAAGTTACTTCATCACATAACAGAAGAAAAAGAAATAGACAACAAGGAATATTACAAGTACAGTGTAGAGAAGACATTAAAGTGGCTGGAAAAAAAAAGGTTAATCAAACAGTGGCAGTATTAAAAGCCAGTCATGTCAATGTTGGTGTCATGTGCAGGTACAGTCAGCTGCATTTTTCTCCAGTGACCAGGAAGAGGATTTTATTCATTATGCCCATGGTCTGATATGTGATTACATCCCTAAAGAATTAAGTGACAACTTATCTAAATACTTAAAGCTTCCAAGAAACTTCAGCTCCAATGCCAAACCCTCCATCAAAGAGACTAAAGATGTCACATGAGCCTGTAGAAGTAAAAGAAGACTACACTAAGTTTAACACTAAAGATCTGAAGACTAAAAAGAACAATAGTAAAATGACTGCAGCTGAAATGGCTAAAGTTGACAAGAGTGGAATAAAACGTATTCGTGCCTTTTTTTGGTGTAAAAAATAAAAGAAAATTGAAAAGATTTGAAAATAAAGTTAATAAAGCAAAAGAAAAAAAAAACCACTAAAACAAACAAACAAAAAAGCAGTTTGCTTTTTACATGCTCCATTTCACCCTTCCTCTGTACGACTGTACTTCCCGATCCTTAATCACTATCTTATTGTCGGAGGGTTCAGCTTCCTTTGGATTCGATTTTTGTGTTTCTGAACAAAATATGGGAAACTAGTTGTGTGATTTCATGGCTGGGACCTTTGGAGTCTAACAGTGAAAAGTGAATAGACTATATAGCATCACAGTATCCTCAATAAACTGACCCTTGACAACAATAATAACCAAAAAAGTCATTTAACCTTTTTTTTTTTTGAAACCTTTGTATTTAACACATACATGAACTTTAGATACTTCTTTTTTTTTTTTCAGATTTCATTGAGTTTATTGGTATATTTTTTTAATGAAACATTTCTGAGGGAAAATAAGTAGTTCACAGTACATATTTTTTGCTTGGAATTGTCTTGTTTCGGAAGCATAGTTGAATGTTAATATGACTTGACATGTACCTTTGAAATCCCATGTAGGTTAAACTTTAAAGACTTAATTGTTAAAAAAAACCTCTATAATTTTTTACTTTGTAATTTTTTCAGTCTTAATTTTGAATTATTTAAAACAACATGAAATTTTGGTTATAGAAAATCTTTACTTTCTTTTCTTTATTACTTTACACCTCCACAAATCCAATAACCATCTTTTTTTTCTTGAAACCAGGTGCTCCGGGAGTTGGTATTAAAATACCGTGAGAACATCATTCATGTGAGGACAGCAGCAGACCACATGGAAGAAAAGCTGAAGGCTGAAATACTTTTCCTAAAAGAACAGATTCAAGCAGAACAGTGTTTAAAAGAAAACCTTGAAGAAACTCTACAGCTAGAAATAGAAAACTGCAAGGAGGAAATAGGTAAAGATAAGTGATGTAGTTTAGAATTGGAGTCACTAAATAAAACTGATTGTGAGAAGTAACGGTACATGGTTATGGGATGTGGAGGACAAAACATGTAAGAAATAAGTAAAGACTCAGCTTATTTTTCCAGATGTTCTAACATATCCAGTAATCATGATAAAAAAACAAAACACAAGCAACCTCATTGTCCTCTTGTGGAGCTCTTAGGGTTCTCTTTAGCAGTTACTAACAGAAAGGAAACTCAGTAATTCAGATCATACTGCCAAGGTCTTTGCAGAACTTTGCTCTGTTGAGAGGAAAATCTTTTCCCCTGACAGAGTTGACAGAGTTTGATGTACAGTGAGTTATGAAATAGTGTCTGTTTGTGTGGATGCTCCCTTTACCTGAGCTTGCTTATGATGCTGGTTAGTTGGAGTTAATTTTGAGAAAGGGCTTTTCCCTCTCATATTCAGTGAGAGAGTGTGTGTGTGTGTGTATTTAAATCCTTTGGGGTATTTAAGAAAACATTGCTAATGTGAAGTAAAAAATAATCACTAATACTTCTCCTTTTCTCCTAGCTTCCATTTCTAGTCTGAAAGCTGAATTAGAAAGAATAAAAGTAGAAAAAGGACAGGTAAGTCACAAGTTTAAAATTAATCAGTGATTAATGGTTACTCATTGACTCCTGCTGTGCTAGAGCCAAAGAATGAAAGACAGTTGAGGCGCAATCCTTACTTTAAGAAACTTCTGTGTAGGTGGAATACAGTGAGGTGATAGAGAATGTTTATTAGAGCCTGCTATGTATCAGGCCATATGATTGGAGGTTAGGGGAAGACAAAAGACGCAACTGTTGACTGGCGTTTCCATTGTAGTGGGAAATAGGTAAAGCATGGTAATGACATAATATGCTAAAAGCTAGAGTAGAAATATATACAAAAACTTTTACTGACAGGGCATGATGTTTTCTAGGTGGATAAGTGTCCTTTTCAAGACTACATCTATAGACAACTTTAGCTCACTGGCTTTATCATTCCTTGACTTAAAACCTTCACTTTCACTCTGCCTTTCTCCCCAAATTCCTGGCTGCACTTTCCCCCATTTGATATTTTACTCCAGCCTCATTCATATTCCTTGACCAGTCTACATCCTTCTAGCTCTTACTCCTGCAGACCCACCTTAGAATCTCCTTCAGACCTTAAGTTCTCTGAACCACTTCTTTTCTCCTGGTTTTAGCCACTTTGTGTGGCGTTGAGCTGTTTCTTTCTGAGCTGCATCTGACATAGCTTTCTGCTTCAGCTTGTGTCACCCACATGTTTAAGTCTCCTGACTCTTCTTCTGCTGCCTCCCTTGACTACTGCTCAACCTTGGGTTAGGTCTGGTGTCCACAACTGCTGATGTCACCAGAATTGGTGGCACATTGAATGCTTGTGTTGTCAAGTAGGCTTCCCCATCAATCTTTCATTTGTACTGAAATGTGTCTCTTCTCTCTTCCATGGTGACTGATTTAGTCACTGTCACCTCATCCTCCTCACTTTCGCAGGCTCCTCAGTTACATGTTCTCCTACTTTTATTTCTGGCCTTCTCTCTGTTCTGCTTCTTGAGAAAAAACAATGATCTGTTTCTCATCCCTTCCATCTTTTCTCTTTCTAGGTTGTGGGTTTTGAACTTCTACCTCTTCATTGATCTTTCCCATTATGCACACACAAACATGGTTGGGTGTCTCCTATTAAGAGGGAAAATATTTCTCTTTGGATTGCATTTCTATGACACGCCACCAGTTTTATTCCCTATAATGCTAAGAGTTATGTTTTTGCACTTCTAGGGATTGAACCCAGGGCCTTCCAGGCATTCCTTACCCACTGAGATCTGCCTATGCCTTGACTCTGTTACAGAGATTCCACTGAAGAGGTGACCACTGCTTAGGGATGGGGTATGGCTCAGTGGTGTAGTGCTTGCCTGGTGTGTGCAGGCCCAGGATTCCATCCAAGCACCACAAAAAAGAAAAAGTGACCAGTGCTCAGATAAGCAGACATGTCCCAGCCTTCTACTCCATTGCCATTTGACTTCAGACTTCATGTCTTATCCAGCCTACTGTAACTGCCTAACCTATTCTCTGTCTCCAAAATTTAGTCTCTTTCAGTTCATCTCCATATTGGAACCAAAGTGATCTTTAAAAATTGTAAACTTGTCTGGTTGAAAACCTGCCATTGATATCCTTTATCAGCAGGAGCAAGTCAGTATTTCTTAGCCAGCCAGGTCTTTTCTGCCTCACACTTTTTTCTAGCCTCAGCCTCTTGGGACCCCAGCTCTGCTGCCATCAAGAACTCAGTATCATTCCTGAGTGCATTCTTATGCATGCCATCCACTTGCTCTTTTTTGTCTCTGCCTTCCTGTCCTCACTATCCTCTTCCCTATAAAAATTTTCATCTTTCAAGAGTTAAATATCATCTCTCCTAGGAAACATTTCCCAACCTTTCTGACAGAATTAAATGCTACTTCCTTCCTGTTCCTATACTCTAATTATTTACATATCTTTCTCTCCTGACTTCTCCATCTCCAGTGGTTAATTATTGAAAGAATAGATCTGGAAAAACAGAATCCACAAATGTTAAAGGGTAAGGGAAGCTTTCCAATGATAGCCAAATGCAGGGCCTCAGAGGACTTGGGAGGAGGACCTTAAAGTCAGCATAATTCTCTGAACTGAAGGACTCTCTAAGCAGCATGCTTTAGCCCACAAGGGGTTTCCCATAAGTTTGTTTTTTAATTTTACAGTTGGAGTCCACATTAAGAGACAAGTCTCAGCAGCTTGAGAGTCTTCAGGAAATAAAGATCAATTTGGAAGAACAGTTAAAGAAAGAGACTGCTGCTAAGGTGATATTTTTGTTGGTTAATTTTAAAAAAGGGAGACCAGGATCATAGGATCACATCTTACATGTTTAAAAAACAAACCAACATTTCTGTTTCGAAGTGTTACTGTTTGTAAATTTGGCAAGAGTAACAGCTTGCAAAAAGAAAAGGATTTCATTAAGAATTGGGTTAAATCTTCTCTCTGCCAGCTCTGCAGGGCTGGGTCACATGCCTTTACTGACTTTAGGTTGTAGGCTGTGAGGGTCACTGAACCAAACTTTGCATATGTCCAGTTAGAAACACTGCTTTGAAAATGTCATTCCAATGGACTGACACATGAAATCATAAGATTGCCCAGAACTGGATTTATTGCACAAATTTTGATAGCCTAGTTGGAATAAAAGTGCATGTAACTATTATGGGGAGAAGTTGTCTAGAAGTGGTCTTGGTGAGCTGTGTGGTCACAGTGGAAACTGTTGGTATTGTTACAGGTAATTAAAGCGCCTAGAGGTCCTGAGTCATTGTGACCTTTAGCTCTTTGGTATTAATCCTCACTCAAAACGCATTTTTGGGTGTTTTTTCAGGTTGCTGTTGAACAACTGATGTTTGAAGAGAAGAACAAAGCTCAGAGATTACAGACAGAATTAGATGTCAGTGAACAAGTCCAGAGAGATTTTGTAAAGCTTTCTCAGACGCTACAGGTGAGGCATTTGGGAAACCACCGTTGCACTCTGAGGGCAACCTTGCCTTTCCTCATTTGAGCACTAAAGTAGCTGGAGGTGTAAGTTACTGTGGCTGCTATTACATCTACCCAGAGAGTATCTGCCTGTCGTTCAGGCTAGAACCTTGGCATGCCCTCCACATTTGGCTCCCTTTTTCTTTACACTTTGCCAGTTTTGCCTCCTTAACAGTACAACTTATATTCACTGTTACAATGTTAAATACTTGTGGTTCCCTGTGCACAGCATGGTATTCCTTCTGGTAAGCATCCTTGTCCCCTTCACTCTTGTCCTTCCAAGGCCCAGCTTAGGTTTGTTCCCTGCGTGGAGCCCCTTTCTAGGTCCCCAAGCTGGCCTGAAGTGCCTCTTCTCTCTACCCCACTCCCTTGGTACTCTGTGAATGCCCACAGTGAAATTGAGTAGATTGTGCTAAAATTTTCTTCGGCCCGTTTTTTCCCCAAATGAACTGTGATTTCTCCAGGGACAGAAGTAAGGTTTCATTTGTCTCCATGATCCTAGCACCTACACCTCACAATGTCAGTCTGTTAAGTGGTAGGTTTGGGGAACTGTTTTTTAATTTGATCCTCATTGCTGAGTCTTTTCTCTGAAGTGACTACTCTGCTGAGTTATCTGCTGCATCTCAGCTAACCCAATCAAAGTAGAGGACATCTAGGCAGGGACCACCTGCACTTATCTCACCATTGTTTCTCCAGGTGCAGTTAGAGCGAATTCGGCAAGCAGATTCCTTGGAGAGAATCCGGGCAATTCTGAATGATACCAAACTGACAGACATTAACCAGCTACCCGAGACATGACACTCTTGATAGCTGGATTCTAGCCTGCACTTTGGGTTTTAACTCATCTTTAGAGCAACATTAATTATTTAACTCTTAACTGAAGAAGCAGAAGTCACAACAAAAGGAAGACTGGAGAAATGTTTTATTTCTAGTGAGAGAAGACTGTGCAGCACAGCAACAGCCAGCCAATAGCTAGAGTGATTTGCAGCCAACAGATCTTTCAAAGATGAACACTAATGAGACTCCAGACTTAATTCCAACAGGTGTGGTATCAGATTTGATGGTGGAAAAAAGTGCTGTCTCCTTTGCCTTCTTTCTCCAACATAGATTTTTGGAACACATTTCCCTACCCTGAAGCAACTTCCCAGTAGTGTTTGGAATTAATTTCCTGTTTATAGATATTGGGAGAGAGGTGTTTCTGTTGTCTAGAGCTCATCAGTAACAGTGTCCAGCTAGCAGATGTGTAGTATGCTGTATGACTATTTTATATTAAAATATGAAGTGTGAGAGCAGGCCATTGGCTAAGACTGTATTTGCCTCGCTCAGTGCATTTTCCTTTTCACCACTGAATCTTCAAATACTGGAGGACCTTAAATGCTACTGAAGTTTTGCTGAGAACCAGGAGATTGTGGCAATCAAAATCAACTCAAGAACAGAATTAGGACTTGAAAACTTGGCTGAGGCTATATATTATTGGAAGTGGAATTTAAAGGAAAAGCACAAGAAACTGTTGGAAAGCACTTTTCTTTCTGCAAACCTGGATGATCTTCATGGGCTAATAGGTACCAGGATAAAGTGGAACTGGCACCGGCACCACCTACACTTTTGAAGTTTTAGTTACTGAATCAGTGAAAAAAAATTAATAAAACAAGCTATGTCTGACAATACCTAGTGCACACTTATATCGTTTTCAATTTGAATGAATCAGTGGGCTTGTGTGCAGTGTTTGAAGTGTCAAGTATAGAAGTAGTGGTAACAAGGTTTGACAGATACTTTTTCTTTTACAATTTAGACCTGGAGTATTAAGTAACAATGCTTATAAGGAAGTTGGGGAAAGGCCATTTATTATATTGATCAGTTTGGAAATCTGCTTTGTCTTTTTCCAAGGTGTGAGATTCCTTTCCAGTGTGGAGAAAGCCTCAGTGGAACAGGTCATCTTTGTCATAACTTTGAGGTATCATAGGAAGCACAGAGAATGGAGTTGTGTTTGCAGTTTATGTGCTGCAGTATTGTCCCAAGAGTAGCCAGGGGAAGACTGTGCTGTTTAATCCATTACATGGATGATCCAAAAGTAAAAAATTTTGTTTTCAAGAAATTTTCGCAATTGGTGTTGCATAATAGCAAGGTACCTAAAGGAACCTTATTGGAATTAGTGAACTAAGTAGATGTTTTAGTTCACCTGACACCACTATTAGCTAAATTTAAGTGAACAGCCTTTGTTATAATTTGTCATTATGAAGTTGCCCTAAAAATATTCACTTTTTTCCACAGGAGAAATAAGGACTGCATTACCTCATCCCATAGTTTAAAATCCCTTTGTATAAAGTGCTACTAGGTTTAAAGGAAACATATCCTTATTGAGTTACAGGGAATTTTATTAATTAAAAAATGTAATTGTTCAAATTAAAGAAAGACTAGTCCCCTAAGGGAGGCCTTAAGCTAGTTTGTTTCAGATTTTCAAAATCAGCACTATAAATCATGAGTAGTTTATAATTTTTCAGTCTTGTGACTCCCACTGACCTGTTCTGCCAAAACTGAATACCTTACAGATACTTTTCTCCAGATGGGAAGAGGCAGTAAATACATCATGATTAGGGAACTGTTTATGGACTGTACTATGGCAGATGCCAACTGCTAGAATCTATTCAACTGAGAAAAGTATCTTAGAAAAACCCAATTGAGACTCTAGATTTTATTTAACAGTCTGTTTCTGGTATGCAATTACTGTGATATGATCCAGGTAGGAAAGTTATGCAAACTGGGTTTTTTGCATAAATGGGATCTGATTTAGCAGTGGGTTTTATCCCTTCTAGATAATAGTTGGGTTTCACAAATATTCCTGTGCTTCAGTCTGTATATACTTGTTCTCTTAAATGTCTAATCTCATTTACTTAGCTATAATGTACCTTACCTGTGGCTTTTAATTGGCAGTCATTCAGTTGTTTCTAGGCAGATACAGTATTACCTTTCAGAACCTGAAGCTGAGGACAAAACCGTATACTGCATACCAAGCGGTTGCTTTCTCCCTTTAAGGTGCTAAAACTTGCACCTCATGCCCACTCAGTAGACAAAAGAGCATGGCCACAACTTAGCTGTGAAAGGTAATAGTGCCTGTGAGGACATGAGCCAGCAGTGGCCTTTGCATTTGTTGTTCTTGAGCTCCAATCTGAACAGATCATAGGTAAAACTGTTAACTATACTGAAGGCATATCTTTAAGGAAGTTATCAAATTAAAAAAGCTGCTGCTGAGTAGACTGTGTGGCCTTTTCCTTTGAATCCTAGGGTTCTGACCCCCTTTGCAGTCACATTTCTGACACCATTCTCTAAAACATAGCTCTTACTGCTCAAATATGGAGAAAACGCATGGAGATATGGGATTATGTAGCTAAACCCTTGTGTCTTATGATTTTTTAAAAAATCCTGGGCCCTTGTGGAATACATATAATTTTCATTATAAAACACGTTCCAATTTTTAAATAAAAGCATTTATTTAGTAATTATAAAAGATAGTAAAAATGAACAACACACCAAAGTTTTTCCAAAATGCCTCTTTATAAATTAGACAGTGCTACCTGTTTATTTTACAGTATGGGCTTAAACCTTTAGTTATTTCAACTTCAGGTGCGAATCTGTTCCTGACAGTATTGTAGTATCAGAAGTTTACATGATTTCGTATATCATTGATTTGCTTCACCATTTCCCTTATGTGTTCACCCCTGTAAAATAAAAGTCACTCACTTTTAGAAATGAATAGGCCATTAATAGGAAGTCTTATGAATTTAAACTGGTAACACTGAAATATCTAAGAACAGCTTTACTAAAATTACAGTGGTACCTTGGTTCACAGACTTGAATTAAGTTCACGAACAGGAACCATTGTAACAGCTTAAGGTTTCTGATGGATGGCAATAGGAGTTCAGGTAACAGCTCAGCTATTACACTTTCTGTGTGTGGCAGGAACTGAACTAAGAGCCTCAAATATGCTAGGTAAGTGTTTTACCACTGTGCTGAATTTCTAGTTCCAAGAAACGTTTTTGAACGTACTCATTGGGAAATACTTTTGACCAGAAAACCAAACTACATTACAGGAAAGCCATCATTTTCCATCCTCATTTCTTAAGTCCCTATCTGTCCTGCAAATGCTGAGACTGAGGTTCATCTGGGCAGAAAGAGGCTGATTTGGGCAAAAGAACAACTTATCTTGTAATAGTAGCATGATTGGAGCCATGTACTTACTCCTCCTTCAGGACAGACTGGATGCACTTTCTCTGGTAAGCACTGAAAGTAATGGTGGGTTTTTGAGGACTCAGAACCTTTTCCATCTTTTGCTGCTGATACTCTTTTTTCATAATAACCTTAAGTATTAGAGAACATTATTTTAGCGATAGTTTGCCATATATTTTGACAGTATTTTTAGTCTTTAAAATTATCTTCCAAGATTATTTTCTACAGAATAAGTGTTTCATTTTTAAGGAGGACAGATTTGCTGAGCATGGTGGCTCATGCCTGTAATCTCAGCACTTAGGAGGCTGAAGAAGGAGAGGATCGCTGCAGGTTTGAGGCCAGCCTGGGCTACATGATGAGCTCAAGGCCAGCTTCAACTACAGAGAGAGACTCTGTCTCAAAAAGAACAAAACACAAGGATTTTTATATTTATTCTTACCTGTTTGATGGCATTGCCCAAATGTCGAAGTTGATCAGGGATCAGCTGTAATTCTTTCTTCATGTCTCTCTCACTATCAGAGAGAACTGGGAGCTGAGAGTGGAAACTGTGAAGTACTTTTTTCATCCTTTGGAAAAGGTAAGCAAACATCTCAGCTTAAGATCTTTAATTAGGAGAAACTCTAAAGATTTTAATTCATAACTTTGGTGTCTGGGAAGGAGGGCAGCATAGGCTGGGTCAGAGATCAATATACTATCTTCCCTGACACACATTTCAGAGGAGAGGTGAGGGCTATTCAGTTCTGTAGATAGATCACAGCTGGGCTAAGGTCCATTTTCTTTCTTTTTTGGTACTAGGTATCAAACTCAGGACCTTATGCTTGCAAAGCAGGCAGCAGAACCACTGAGCTAAATCCCTGGCCCTAAAGTCCATTTTCTTAAAAACCCTTTTAGTGCCCAAATACTTAATAACATTGTTAATACCTTAGGGAGCGCCCAAGGTTATTCAGCCCACTGACCTGTTCATGATATCTTCCTGTTTTTCCTTGGCTTCCTCATATTTGTCAGCTAAGCGCTCAGCCATTTCCCGTAGACTTTTCCTGATGGCATAAGAAAGTAGAGACTCTTGGGGTCCACCTTGATGTTAAAGCCAAATGATGTGGTGCAACATCTTATGGTTGAAATGCATTTCCACTCTAACTGTTTTGCCCCAATTTTGATACTTACCTCTCTTCTCGACAATAATTAAGATCATCTAGTTGTTTCTTTTTTTGGTCACATAATAATTTGACCCTTTGAGAAGAAAAAAGTTTATTTAGAAGCCAGGTATAGGCTATTATGCTGCACAAGCCAGCAGCCAGGGCCTAACAGTTTATGAACAGAGGACATCATACCTCCTCTGAATCTCTTCCTTTGCCAGGTCCTGCTTAAGAATGTACTGTTCTCTGAACACCTGGGTGGCTCTGCTGATGAGCTGGAGGCATTCTTCAGGAGGAGGGGCCAAATCCTTTTCTGATGACCTAAGAAACAAAGGGAAATCATTTTCCTTAGCAAAACAAAACAGATTTGAATCATAGTTGCTTTGCCCCTTTGTTGTTAGTACTTTATCATTCTCAGGTGCCAGTTTTCTCTCTCTACTCACTGGCTTATTCAATATCCCCTCTGTCTCTTCCAACTCTACCTCAGTAAAAACTGTATGAAACAGCTGTCGACATAGATGATGAACAGTAATTTGAAAAGAGAAGATAACCCATTCTTAAAACCTGTCCCATACTTCAGAAATGATGGATTGGCAGCACTACGTTGCAAAATGCTCCTGATATGCTTTTCAAAGGAATCAGGGGTTTCAGCCAGAATACGGAGAGGAGAATCTGCAACTTCATCATCATCTTGGGTGCACAGCAAAGGAGGAGATGCTGGATGGACTGTACTTCTGTCAAATAAACAGATAAAGTGTATCAAGGAGTTATTGTATTATAGGGAAGCAGAAACCACATCCAGAACTCTGAAGGAGACCTAAGAAACTAAAAGGTACTCTTACCTTTTACTTTTGTAAAAGTATCAGAATGCATTTTCTGCTGCAAAAAGGTCACATTACCTTATTATCCTTGGCCTATTAGTGATGCCATCTGCCAAAGCATTTTAGACTGTACCACTCCAAATTCTTTTTCAAATGATCATAACAGTGCAAAAATGTAAGTCTATGGCCGAGGGATTTAGCTCAGCGGCACCATGCCTGCCTTGCAAGCATGAGGTCCTGAGTTCAATCCCCAGTACCTACCCACCCCCAAAAAGAAAATATAAGTCCATCATGGATCCTTTTAGCAAAGAGTTTTATATTTATAAATAAAACTAAACTCTGGCAGTATGGTAAAGCGACTTATTTTGAAGGCAACAAAGTAGGAAGAGTGTTGGAACAGTAACAGACAACTTGTATTTAAGGGAATTGGCAAAAATCTATTATTTGAAGATACCCAGATGATGAGACTTTCCCTTTAGAATTTATATTGTTTGTACCCAATTTGTGTGACTAGATTTTAATTAACTAAAGCTAATATAGATTTTGTTTTTTTAGTATGGCATTGTGAATACTATGCTAAGGCAACTGGCAAATACCCGTGATTTTTATTAGAGTGGTGACACTGTACTTTTGTTTAGCCTTGCTAGTTTTTAATTGTCTTCCAGAATAAGCAACACAAAATTTATATTTGAATTCTTTGTTTCTTTTTCACATATTGTAACAGATTAATTTTTTTTTGGGTTTTCTTGTGACAGGGTCTTACCATGTAGTTGAGACTGACCTGGAACTCACTATGTAGCCCAGGCTGGTCTCGAACTCACAGTGATCCTCCTGCCTCAGCCTCCCCCGTGCTAGGATTACAGGCATGCGCCACACCAGGCTGGTCGAACTCACAGTGATCCTCCTGCCTCAGCCTCCCGAGTGCTAGGATTACAGGCATGCGCCACTACGCCTGGCTGTAATGGATTAATCTTTAAAGAGCAGAGGACCTTTTAAGGACAGTCAAGTAATGCTATATTTTGTGTAAGTCAGTGTATAGAAATACAGGCTCTGAACTCATTTGGGTCTAGTATTTGATATTCATATGACTTCTGGTCTTTGTACTCATACCTACATTCATAAAACTCAGAATGATCTTTCAGGGCTGCTTAAAAGGAAAATACTAAGGGGAATGAGTACTGAGTTTAGCTTTATAGTGACTTCTTTCAGGAATTTATAATCCTCTCTGAGGTCCCTGTGATGCTGTCGCAAGGAATAGTGTGAATATGGAGTTTGGAATCACACCTACAGTTGCATTTTACCTGTGAACTGTACTTTCAGTGCTTGGCAAACTCTCAAGCCTCATTTTCTTTCCTCTAGGATGGGGTAACAGTGCTCTTTTTAAGGGCTGTCCTGGTAATTCCAGGAGCAATGCAAGAAAATGGCTCACTTTTCAGCCTGGTCAGAGCTTGATAATCATTAAATCTACTTCATAGAAAGATTTAAGTACCTCCCCCGACACACATACATGATGCTTTAAAGAAAATCACTTGATTCTCAGGTATGTGACAGAGATTTCAGATAGTATGTCTAAAATAAAACTTAGAAATAGCAGGGAAAAGAAATACTCATCCTTCTAGCCCTCATGTCAGAAACTAAAGCATAAACTCTATAGGGGTAGTTTCAAACAAGTAAGTTAGGGCACTGTCCCAGTTTATATTTTGCTATATTAAAGAGAAATATGAGGAAAAATACAAAATAGGACATACAGTAAAGGCCTTATAAGGCATTCGTAGGTACTGGTAATGCAGATCATCGTGGGCCCCAGAATATCAGGAACTATCCAGAATCCTTGAATTGGAGCTGGCTGCCTGGAGAAAGACAGGTGAGTTACAAAGCAGCGAATGCAATCATACCAAAAGCAAAGACATGACTGAGGTCTGTGACCTGTTCATGCCTGGGCTGGCAGTCGCTTGGGACATGGTATCTGTAAGTGCAGTAATTTCAAAAGTGGTGAAAACCTGGAATACCTCTCTGATCATCTGCCTGAACCAAGCTGCCATGTGGCTGTCTAGAAGCCATTTACCAAATTACTCAAGAAACCACAGCCTCATAGGTCACTCTGTCATCTGAGCAATTCATATTACACTGAAGTTCCCATTTGTGACCTCCCTAGCTCAGATGTAAACTCAGTTATAGTATCTTTGTGTGCTGAGTTTGGTGCCTGAAAGATTCAGTGTTAGAATCCTGAATAAACAGAACTTTATTTCAGACTGCACATTCAATTAAGCCAAACAACTGTTAAAGGACTTCATTTCATGTGTATAACATGCATTTCCCTCTCATTTTCTTCCTACTTCACTAAAGAAACTGCAACCTGGGTATGACAGTACATATCTATAATCTCAGGATTCTAGGAGGCTGAGGCAGGAAGACTTAAAGTTCAAGCCCAGCCTAGACAACTTAAGACCATATCAATCTAAAAAATAAGCGGGCTGGGGATTAAATGCTGCAGCCAAGTATGGTGGTGCATGCTTATAATCCCAGCCCTTGGGAGGCTAAGGTACAACTGCCATGTGTTTGAGATGAGCCTGGACTACACAGTGAGTTCAAGGCCTGCCTGAACTACTAGCAAAACTCTGTCTCAAAAACAAACAAACAAAAAACCAGTGCATACGAACTGCATTCAGTTCCCATTATCTACAATAAAAAATCTGGACCCTGAGGCCCTAGGTGGGAATTTAAGTAATCTCACCCTGTGACTACAGTACATTTCTGTCTCTGAACGTTGATGCCACCTCCTCTTATATCTTGTGAAGAACGTGTTATCAACTAATTTCAAAACCTCCCTATTTCCTCTCAGCTTATAAAAGTAATGTCCCTTCCATTAAAAAAAAAAACAACCTTCCACATTACAGCTCCCTGTGTAACTAATATCTAGTTCCAGCTTAACCTATTTTTCTTTCTCACCTTTAGAACAGCCAGTCAACATTATCTCCCATTCACTTTTTTTTTTTTACAGCGTGTAGGGGGGTGAGGCTGAGGGATATCAGAAAGGCTCTAGAATTTTATATTATCAGAGTGAAAGCCACATACACTACATAACTAGTATATAGGTCAAGAATTACCACACTGCGATGGCATCATATGACCTCCTATGTGACCCTCCTCAATCACAGCCTCTCTTTCCTCAGAGATAATCACTGCTCTGGCTTCCATGTTGTTGTACCCTTGTTTTGCTTTATAGTTTTCTTGTCTATGCTTTCATTACTGACCAAGACTAACTTTTTAGAAACTGACATATATTTCCCCGTTCACTTTTCAACCTGATATGGTTTGCTATTTTTTTCCCTCTCAAATATTTTCCCTGTTGTCCTTTGTATCCTAAATCTAGCTCTGTTGCTCATCACTGCCTTGCTGTGCTTTCATGATGCTATTGCCCATTGCCACCTCTTGTAAACACCTCTTCCTTGGCATTTTTCTTCCTAGTTCTAGTCAGTCTGGCAGCTGTTTTCTCAAGTTTTCTTCCTGGGCTGGGTTCCTCTGCTCCATTCACTGCTCATGCATAAAACAGGTGTTGTGTACTTCTCTCTTCTCAAGTTCCCTCTACTCATTCTAGGCCCCTTTGTAGGTAACCTTTGCCAGAATCATGGTTCCAGTGCTGACAATTCTCACATTCCTGGTGTCCTATATGAATCACTCTAAACTCCAGACCTACAAACTAAACTATTAGGCTTTTCCACTCAGATGTCCTATGGCAACTGTGCTTTCCCTTTCATATCCATTTTCCTGAATACTACTACATCTACTCATCTCAAGAAACCTGGGAGCCACTTTAGGGAAATTTTCATTTCATTTATCATATATTTACTGAGTAGCAACTATGTTACAGAGTAGACAAGAGACCAACAGTGTACACTAAGAAAGATAAGCTCTGCCCTTAATGTATGTTACTGTGGTGCCAGACATTAAACACAAGTATAAATTTTAATATGTAGCATGGCACATACCTGTAATCCCAGGGAGGCTGAGGCAGGAGGATTGCCATGAATTTGAGGCCAGCCTGGGCTACACAGTAAGTACAAGGCCATCCTGAATTAGACAGCAAGACCTTGTCTCAAAAAAATAAAATTATGTACTACCAAGAACAAGAACAGGGAATCAAAGGAGTCTTCTCTAAAGAAGTAACATTACAATCAAAAATGAGTAAGAGCCAAGAGAAGTCAGCAAAGTCGGATTGGGACTGGGACAGAGGATAGTGTGTGGATAGTATGTGAAGCAAGAGAGTCTCTAGTGAACATAACGATGAACAGGATACTCTTAAGGATGGAATAGCATATATTACTGAAATGAACAATTGTTCTATGTGTAAAGGGAAGAGACAAGCCTTACCTGCATGGCAGTGGCTTTGTACAAAGGATGTGCTCCACAAAGCATTTCTGTTCTGCAGCAAGTTCTTGTAAACTGTCTTTATCTTCTTCATCTACAAAGGAACACATTATAGAAATTAAATGTTTAGACAAGTCTCCAAATTAAAATGCTAATGCCATTATGTAACTGTAATTAAATTCTTTTCTGCTTCTCAAGGATTATGCCCTTCTGACAGAAATATCCTTATTCCAGGGATCTAGATTTCTGCACTAGGGATGATATTCCTTGGTCATGTTTCTAAAATGCAGAAATGTTTCACTGAGAAAAATCACTCCCTTCCACTATTTCTAACCCACACTGTTTTTTTTTTCTAATAGCCCTTTGAAACAACCCACAATACCATTTAAAGCGCCTAGGGTGTACAATTCAGTGGATTAAGTATACTAGAAGAATTGTACAGCCAATGCTACAATTTAGAATACTTTCATTTCCTGAAAAGAAACCAGTGGTTTCTAAACCAGTGGCGCACCTATGGCACCCGTGCTACAGCAGGCTGTATATATCACTGAAAGATCTAAATGTTTCACCATCACTGCCACCATTAGTGGTCACTCCCCAGTTGCTAACATTCCCAGACCCATGTAATCACTAATCTACTTTCTGTATCTGTAGGTTAATCTATTCTGAACATTTCATGTATATGGAATCACACAACATGCAGTTATGTAATTTGGCTACTCTTAACATGTCTTCAGGGTTCATCCATGTTGGAACAGGTATGAAAACTTAACTCCTTAGAGTTGAATATTTCACTGCATGAATGGATGTACCACCTTTTATTCACTAGACAATGGAGGCTTAGCTGGTTTGCTTGTGGGTTATTATGAACAATGTTGTTATGAACATTTGTGTATAAGTATGTGGATATAAGTTTTCATTTCTCTTGGGTATATACCTGGGGTGAACTGCTCAATATATGGTAACTGTTTAATGATTTCAGGTACTTCTAGACTATTTTTCAAAGTGTTGTACCATTTTACATTCCTATAAATAGTATATGCAGGTTCCCATTTTTCCACATGCTCATCAACACTTGTTATTGTCCATCTTTTCATTTTAGCCATCCCAGTCAGTATAACATCTAAATGTGGTTTTGTGGTATCTCATTTCTAAAATGATTAATGATGTCCAAAATATTTTTTATGTGCCACGTGTATACTATCAAAGTACCAAGGTCTGTGCAAATCCTGTCGATTTTTAAATCGAGCTATTTATCTTTTTATATTAAATTCTAAGAATCTTTGTATGTTCCAAATATAATTCCATTATCAAATACATGATTTGCAAATAATTCCTTTCCTTTTGTGGTTTGTTCTCATGTTTGTGACTGTATTCTTGAATGATGTATTTAATTTTGATGATCTGTAAAGGTATGCTTTTTTCTCTTGCCTGCTGTACTTCTGATGTCTTAAACCACTGCCTAATCCAGAGTCACAAAGATTTACATGGATTTTCTTCTAAGAATTTTATTGTTTATGTTCTTTCATTTGGTCTTTGATTTGGAGTTCATTTTGGGGAATGGTATGAAATAGGGGTCCAAATTCATTCTTTTGCATTATGGGTATCCATTTGTGCCAGCACCATTTGTTGAAAAGACTGTTCTTCCCTCACTGAATTATTTCAGCACCCTTTATGAAATCAAATGACTGTTCATAGTAGTATTTAATCCTAGACTCTCAGCTCTATTCCACTGACTTATTTTTTTTTTGGTACCGGGGATCGAACTTGTGCCCTTTCATTTGGGAGGCAGATGGTGGAACCACTGAGCCAAATCCCCAGCAACCTACAATATATGTATATTATGCCAATATCACACTATCTTGATTACTACAGCTTTCTGCTAAGTTCAGAAACTGCAAAGTGTAGATCCTCCAACTCTGTTCTTCAAGAATGTTTCAGCGATCCTTGGTCACCTGCATATCCATTTAAATTCTAGGATCATTTTGTCAATTTCTGCAGAATCCATCCACAACGTTTTAGGGATTGCACTGACTCTTTATGTCAGTTTGGGGAGTACTGCCTTTTAATACTATTAAGGCTAAATGTTTAATAATATTAAGGCTTCTGATCCACAAATATGGGATGTTTTTCATTTATTTTTGTTTTGACATTTGTAGAATTTTGCATTTCTATTAAATTCATTCCTATTTTATTCATTTTAGTGCTAGTGTATATGGAAATGTTTCCTTAGTTTCTGTTCTGTTCATTGGTAGCACACAAAAATCTTTGGGCATCAAAGGGGTAGAATACAGTAGACAGAATAATGGATTTTCGAAACATGTCCACATCACAATCCTCAGAAATGATGAAAATGTTAGCCTACCTGGCAAAGGAAAATCAAAGGTGGGAACTAAATTAAATTTGCTCAGAAGATGACTTTAAAATAGGGATACTATCCTGAAGTGTCCCAATGTCATCACAAAGTTTGTTTAAAAGTGGAAAAGGACAAGGCAGGCATGATATCCATACCTGTAATCCTACCTACTGAAGATGCTGAGGCAAGGGAATTGTGAATTTGAGCCTAGTATAGAGCCCCACCTCAAAAAGAAAAAAAAAAAATTGAGGTTAAGAGGGAGCTGGGTATGTGGTGCATGCCTGTAATCCCAGCTCTTCTTGGGAGGCTAAGGCAGGAGGACTGCCAGAAGTTTGAGGCCAGCCTAGGCTAAATGGTAAGAAAGACCCTGTCTCAAAAAAAAGGTTAGAGGGATACAACTTAAACTTTAGAAGAACTTCATCCATCCCACTGTTGCTAGCTCTTAAGTGGAAGAAAGAAATTACAAACCAAAGAATGTGGTAGAAACTGGAAATGGGTAGAGCAGATTTTCCTCTAGAGTTTCCATGAAAAGGAAAACTGCTCTGCCAATTTGAGCCCAGTGAGACTGATGTAGGACTTCTACAGAACAGTAAGATAAAAAATTAATGATGTTTTAAGCCACTAAATTTGTAGTAGGTAGCAGTAGAAAGCTAATGCAGAAAGCATCTATGGGTTTTTCACAGATGTCCTCTATTAGTGTGAAAGATTTATTTATTTATTTTTAATTATATTTTTTGGTACTGGGAATTGAACTCGGGGACTTGAGCTTGCCAGGCAGGTGCTGTGTTGCTGAGCTACATCCCTGGCCCCTGTTTTTTATTTTTAAAAGACAGGGTCTTATGTACGGTAGTTCAGGCTAGCCTCCAACATGTTTGCATCAGTCTTCCAGTCTCAGCCTATCAAATGCTGGGTTTACAGGTATGCACTACCAGCTCTTATCAATCTCTTTGTTACAGGTCCAGTCAAAAATATTTTTTTTCTTGAATAAGTTTTGGTTGCTTATGTTGAAATCTGTTCATTTAATCTAAGTAGCATTACAATTTAAGTTTGGTAGTAATATCACCTCTTTTGTTCCAGATTGTTGTAATTTGACTTTTCTGTTCTAGTTTTTGGTCTGCCTAGCTAAAGATTTGTCAACTTCACTGATCTTTACAGAGAACTTTTGGTTTCACTAATTTTCTTATTTTTCTTTTCTAAACTTTTGATAGAGCTTTGAAACCTTTTGAATATAGGATGTTAGTAAGCTTACCTGATCCAAGAAATTTGTGAAGTTTATGAATCCAAGTTAGCCCAACACTATGCACACCAGCTTCATGAGTACAGTGATACCTTGAAGGACACTTGGGATCTGCAAGTACAATCATTAGTAACATAAAAGGTCACCATTAGAATATGAAAAGAATTTATCCCAGTAGTCTCAAACATATTTGTTGATGAATGTGAGAGAAGGCTTACAAGGACTTTTAATTATAAAGCACTGAGCCTGTGATATTTTAAAATATATTTTAATTTAATAAAGTATAACATAAGTGTTATTTCCCCCCAAATAAAAAACTATCAAAACATAAACTATTGCTGTCAAGTAACTCATCTATGTCTTTTGCATTTATTTAAAGTTCTTCAAAATAAAACACATTAGGCATGGTCACTCTGCACAAAACCTGGCTTGCAAAATCTCCTTACAGGAAACTGGTGAAATAAGTGCACTCCTACATCCCGGGGATTGAAAGGACTTTAACACAGCCCTCAGGGAGCAGTCCTCGCCTTGCGTAGTACGTCAGGTGTGAAAGAGGAAGTAAGGTTTTACCTGTCTTCATAATGCGGACCTATAGACAGTTCTAGTCTATCTTCAGTTTTAGATTCTCTTTTGGTTGATAAGTCATTTATATTTATCCTAAAGAATGTAAGCACTTGTTAAATAATTTTAATTAATTGGCTTTGAAACAAAAATTTCTATACTTCTTTTGAAGCCTCGTGTCAGTAATTCTCAGACTAAAATATGAGCTCCTGAACACCTATTATTATTTATAAATATTTACCTCTGTGGCTAAAAAGTTTAAAAATATTAAAAACAAACAGAAATAATGTATGATTTAAAATATATGATGTTTAAATTTTAAAAATGTATCATAGTAAAAGACACATTGCCATTAATCCTCAGAATACACCCCTCACTTTGAACACCTTTAGCCTATTGTTCTTGCCACTTTCTGGGCCATTTCTCGACCTCCTTTTCTGTGTTTTTATGAGGTATAATAAAAAAATGGCAGTGAATGCTGCTGCCAAGTAAAATCCAACAGAAAGGCAGGCTTGTGAAAATATGGAGTGTCCTCGTCTACCTTACCACCAGATCTGACACCATTCAACATGTGGCTCTTCTCTAAAATAATCATGAAAGGTAGATGTTTCAATCAAGTCAAGACATTAAAATAACAGTGATAGCACAACTAAAGACACTTATGAGAGAGGGCTTCCAGAATGGCTTCAGAAAGTGGCAAAAGTGATGGGATAAGTTATGTCTGAAGCAAAGGAGATTATTTTAAGGGGGATTAATGGCACTATGTCTTTTACGGTAAGAAATCCCTCCAATCTAAACATTAACCATATTTTTGATCCCACCTTGTATATCATAAAATGATGACAATATCCATAAGCACCTAAATTTTTCGTTTAACAGCCTCACTTTGCGTGTGTGTGTGTGTGTATGTGTGTGTGCTACTGAGGATCAAACCGAGGGGTACACTGTAGCACTAAGCTATATCCCAGCACTTTTTATTTTCTATTCTGAGATAGGGTGTTGATTAGCTGCCCAGGCTGACCTCAGACTTGGGGTCCTCCCACCTCAGCTAGAATTACAGGTGTGTACTACCATGCCTGGCTAGATGAATATTTTTCTTTGGTGCTACTGGGGCTTGAACCTAATAAGGCTTTGGGCATGCTAGGCAAGTGTTCTCTCTTAATGTTGATTTTAAAGTTAATGTAGTAAATTGGTATATTATTTTTACCTGTTTTATATACTGGTTTCTGCATAATACTTGAAAATGGCATAAATAGCAAATAGCATAATGCTATAAAAAGCTTTTTAAAAATGTCTGGTCAAAGAGAATCATTCCTCTGCTTAAACAAAATATAGAAAACAGTCCTTTCCCTTGCCCAGATTAAAGAGTTAAGGCTCAAATGATCTCACTAGATCTACTATTATTTAAGATAGCCTTTCAAAATTTATTTGTGATGATAAAGTTGACACAAAAAACTTAATAATGGGAAGTAACAAAAATATATTATGAAAAAGAGCCAACATTTAGTTACTGAGGTAGGAATTTCCTAGGTAGCCTCATGTTATAGGCTAGGCATTTTACTTTTGTCTTAAATCTGGGTGTATTTCAGTGATTGTGATATGCATTAAGCACAGACATGAACAAGTCAGAAATTAGCTTCACATACAAAAATGTTACTTTCATTAGAAAAAGCCCCCCCCCAAATTTTATACTTAAGATTTCCCAAAGAAATACTTATCTTTTACATCACTTTGCCTCACTAGGGCTTAGTGCACTCCCTCCTCTGTAAAATTCTTAAGACTTAATTTTAGATTGTATTTTTTGAAACACCTTAATTAGACATGACCAATGTGTTCTCTTTGCTGATATATTATTTAAGGAATAAATAATACATCCTTAAATGCTTTAGCTTTACTTCAGAACAGAGTTGAAGCTGTTATTACAAAACCTAGGCAAACTAGTTAAAGAGAGCTGCAAGGCAACTAAGTCAATATGCAACAAGATTGGAATAATGGAGCTGGGTGTGGTGGCACACACTTGTAATCTTGGAACTTGGGAAGCTGAAGCAGCAGGATCTCTGCAAATATGAGGCAAGCCTGGGCTACATAGTGGATTTAAGGCCAGTGTGAACTACATAAGGAGATCTTGTCTCAAAAAAGTGAAAAAGAAAAAGATAATTAAAGGTTGGAATCCTTGTCTCTGCACTGGACAAAAGAAAACTACCAAAAGATATATTCAATTGTTCCACAAAATGAGAAAAGTGTTTTTTGTTCCTCATTTCTCCAGGGATAAAGACAAGATCCTAGAGGAGAAACTGAAAAACGTTGGAAGTGCCTATAGATTTCAGCATTTTTGTTTTAGAAGAGATGTTACAGATTATCTACTATTGACCCTTTTGTTTTGAGATGACAAAACTGAAGACCAGAGGTGGTAATTAAATGCCTTCTAATGGTAGAGCCAAAACTAAAACATAGTATACTTCAATAAACTCCTTTCACTCAGTCACAATATCTGAGTAACATGTTCTTTGATTTTTTCTCCAGCAGTTGGTCTAAGATTCCCTTAGATGAGTGACAATAAGAACCTACATGGAGGGCCAAGGATTTAGCTCAGCGGTTCGGTGGCCAAGGAAGAGTTCAATCCATGGTACCAAAAAAAAAAAAAAAAAAAAAAAAAAAAAAAAAAAAAAAAAAAAAAAAAAAAAAAAAAAAAGAAAAAGAATCTACATAGACCTGATACCAACCCAGGCAAGGTTAAAACAGAAAAAAGAGGTTAGAGAGGAGTTGCATGTGTCGCTTCAGCGGGCAGGAGCTGCAGGAGCAGAGGCAGGGGGTGCTGTGCGACCGCCTGGGTTTATGAAATGGCTGCTGACATTTCTGAATCCAGTGGGGCTGATTTCAGAGGTGATCCGAAGAATAGTGCAAAGTTAGATGCTGATTATCCACTTTGAGTACTTTACTGTGGAGTACTGTGAATATATGCCTGATGTTACTAAATGTAGACAGTGGTTAGAGAAGAATTTTCTAAATGAATTTGCAAAACTCACTGTAGAAAATTCACCCAAACATGAAGCTGGAATTAGTGAAGGTCAAGTATTGGTAGGAGAACAAGAAGAGAAGAAAAAACAAAAGAGAGGTGGAAGAGGTCAAATAAAACAAGAAGAAGACTGTATCACAAAAGATTACGATATCCAAAATTCCCAGAGCGAAGAAGAAATATGTGACAAGAGTGTGTGGCCTTGCAACTTTTGAAATTGATCTTAAAGAAGCACAAAGATTTTTTGCTCAAAAATTCTCTTGTGGTGCCTCAGTAACAGGGGAGGATGAGATCATCATTCAGGGGGAATTGACAGACGACATAATTGAGGTCATTCAGGAAAAATGGTCAGAGGTGGATGATGACAGCACTGAAGATCTTGGAGAAGTAAAGAAATGATTTTGAAAACTTGTCTGTATTTAATGACCTGAACTGAGAGTTGTAAGGCCAATGAGAGAAAGGCTTTTTAAAAATATATATATTTATCCTACAGTGAAACTGTAGCCTACCCTCGTCCTTGGCATTTTCACGGTTCTGTACAAGGCTGCTTGGTTTTTTTTTTATTGCCAAAGTCTAATAAACAGGAAAGACTGTCATGCTCATGCATGAGTCAGAATTTAGTCAAATAAAAAATTTTTGGTCAAAAGAAAAAAAAAAAAGAAAAGAAAAAAGAGGTTAGGTGTAGCTCAGTGATAAAGTATTTGCCGAACATGTGGAAGGCCATGGATTTGGTGCCCAGAACCTTTGGGGCAGTGGGGCAGTGGTGGGGGGAGGTGGGGGGTGGATTAAGATAACATTTAAATTGAATGTGGGTATAACAAGGTAATATCTTAAGGTAATAAAGATATTTCTAAAAATTGCTTAACATCAGCATAGTCACATGTCCCTTAACAACAAGGAAACATTCTGAGAAATGCATTACTAGGTCACTGTTGTGGAAACATCATAGTGTCCTTAGGCAAATTAAGATGGCCATGGTGTATACTAGGCAATGTAACTTTACAGGATCACTGTATTTTTGGTCTGTTGTCTAAAATGCACATGGCTATGGTACCACTTGACTTTTAAAACTAATTTAAAGCAAGCATACATTTAAATACTTGAATCATAAAACCTAGTTATGATAGGACCACGTACATCTATGGGGTGGGTCCAGATTGAAGATCTCTATTTTAAATCTTGAGAATTTGCTCAATCTGCTTTAGATAGCTAAATGTACTGTGTAGTGACTAAAAGAACCCACTCAACTTTTTTTTTAAAGACTGGAACCACAGAATAAATTAAACGGGACCAGTGGGTGGTAGTTTTAGTATAAATATAATGGGACAAAAGAACTACATTTAGTGAACACCTTACCTCTGTGAAGTTTGATTGGACAAGAAAAGTCATAATCAAAGGGATCGTCCTCTCCAGAGGCCAGTTTCAGGGCAAGCTCCAACTCAACACATTCAAACACATAGAGAGAAGGAATGAGGTCAGCCCTGGAATCCCAGGACTTTTCTGGCTGTAAAAAAAGTATAATTTTGATCTTGCATGATCATTTGAAGAGTTATTCAACTAAATGGGCCAGGGATTTAGCTCAGTGGTTCCATCGCCTGCCTGGCAAGTGCAAGGACCTGAGTTCAATCCTTGATCCCTGGATCAAAACAACAACAACAACAAAACCACTTCGAACTTGTAGTTTAACTGGGTGTGGTGGCGCACACCTGTAATCCCAGCACTCGGGAGGCTAAGGCAAGACTGCTGTGAGTTCAAGACAAACCTGGGCTACATAGTGAGTTCCAGGTCAGTCTCAACTACATAGTGAGACCCTGTCTCAAAAACCAAAAAATAAAAAATAAAAATAAAAGAGCTGTATAACTAAAAACAGAAGCAAGAAGCTAGATCAATAGTGCTTTTAGATTCTTAATTCCATCCCCTATCCTTATAGTTCACAGTTAATTCTTAAAAGAGGGGGAAAAAAGTTTCTCTTCCTTTAGGAGAAAGTAAGTCTGGAGAAAAGCCAAAGGCCTGTATATCTGTTATCAAGGATATATCTGTTATAAAGAGTTCAGAAAGAAGCATGCAGGTTGGTAGATTCAGTAAGTTTGGCAACCTCCTCCAACTTATTTCCATTTAGATTTTTAAGTGTTTAATACAGTATTTAAAATACCAGAAATACCAGATGTAAGATAAAATTCATCACATAACCATTTATATTGGTCCATAAACTATACTTGATGTTAAAGATATGAAATGAACCAACACTAGGCTGCACTTACTGTGTGGTCATCTTCTTCTTCTCCCTCTAGCACAACACAGTGGTACAGCATTCCTGATTCGGTGGCAATCACTAAGATATTGGGGACACAGGGTAAGCAGAGTATAGCACAAGCATCATAACCATAGTTATCTTCTGCTGCAGGATGCATGGGCAATGGGCCCAAAAGCTTTCCAATATTCCCAGGGCTAAAGAGAATGAAAACAGATTTGTGAAATGTTGACTGAAAATACCATGCTGAGCTCCTAAACCTTTCTTTGACTTTGGCTTTCTCTTCATAGACTCATTACAAATATAGCACACTCCCAGGGTCTCCATTCTCACTTTCCCATACTGGTAGATTTCAATCATAGTTAATTTTGCCTTTGAGGGCACACTGGTAACATCTGAAGATATTTTGGGCTGTCACAACTGTCAAAACTGGGTGACTGGCACTTACTGGGTAAGTACTACAGATGCTGCTAAATATTAACCCACAACCAAGAATTTTTCCGACCAAAATGTAAACAGAAGTTGACAAGCCTTGCCCTAAATCTCCTATGGTTTGTGTTTTTACCATTCCAATGAGCCTACACTGGCAAAGGACAACCATGATTTTAGTTAACAAATCCAAATGACCTATTACATTATCACAGGCTAACAACTACTGCTGCTTGACAACTTTTAACATCTCTAACAATTTTTTCTTGTAGTTTTTTCTTTGTGCTTCTCTGAACAAACAAATCTAATGTCCTCTAATTCTCTCCAATATCGGTGTCTTCAGAATTCTGTTGTAAGTCATCTTTATATTCAAAATACCTGATGACATATTAAAGAATATCTGGTTTAAACCAGGCATGGTGGTGTATGCCTGTAATCCCAGCACTCGGGGCCTAGGCAGGAGGACTGCCCAGAGTTCGAGACTACATGTGAGTTCATGACCAGGCTGGATTATAAAGGGACATCCTGTCTTTAAAAAAAAATAAAGTATGTCTGGTTTTAACTACCATAAATACTCTAATGATGCCCAAATCATTATATAGGTTCTCAAATTATATATATTCTCAAATATAGGTTCTCTTCAGTTGGAACTACATGTTTAATTTAAATAGGTGAATATATATTTCTTGAGTGTTAAATGATACCACCAATGAATTGATGGTTTAGATGGGAAAGCAGACATTTAAACAGAATTACTATACCATATGATAGGTATAACAACAGAAAGTTGTCTAGGGTACAGTGCATCAAAAAGATACAAAATGAGGTAAGAATGGTATCAAAAAAAATAAAAAGAAAACAAAAAAACAAAGACAATTAGAGAATGAATGCTTTCTGGGAAAGCAGTTGGAAGGTTCAATGTTCCAAACTGAGCCCAGCGTGGTGACACACATCTATAATCCCAGCACTATGGAGGCTGAGGCAGGAGGATCACTGCAAATTTGAGGCTAGCCTGGAGTACATAGTTCAAGGCCAGTCTCAACTACATAGTGAGATCCTATCTCAAAAACAAACAAACAAAAGGGAATGTTCCAAGCTAGGAAAATAGCTTATGCAAAGCCCTAGAAACATGAAGACAAGGAACAGGATGATGGTAGAGAACATTTCTTTCTTTTCTTTGCAGTAGTGATGAGTAAACCTAAGGGCTCTTGTACTCTGGGCAAGTACTCTATCATTGGATAGAGCTATGTCCTCAGCATTTTTTAAAAACTTGAGCTGGGCATGGTGGCGCACGCCTGTAATCCCAGCACTAGGGAGCCTGAGGCAGGAGGATCGCAGTGAGTTCGAGACCAGCCTGGACTACATAGTGAGTTCCAGGGCACACTCTCAACTACATAATGAGACCCTGCCTCAAAAAAAAAAAAAAAAAAAAAAAAAATTGAGATGACACTTTTTAAAAATTTGAGATGGGGGGTCTCATTAAATTGCCCAAGTGGGCATTTAACGTTCCTTTCATGAATCCTCTGCTCTAGCTCAAGATGTCTCATCACACTATTCCTGGAAAGACACTGCATTTGCTTATTTTTAAACTCTCCTTTATGTTATCCTTGGAAATGGTCTTACCCTGCATTGATGGTTCACTTAATCCTGTCCCACATGGTATCAGTCCTTCTCTACAAAAATTTCCTTTACTTCTCCAGTGACAATGATCTCTCCTTTCTCTGGGGTTCTCAATGTGTCACAGTAATGTGACATGGGTAATTATTTTTTGTGTCTGTGTGTCTTTTCTACCTCAACTGGGACATATGACACCAGATTACATTTAATCATTCCCACAATGCCTTGCTCATACAACTAATGAATACTTTTCAAGTTAGACTTTGTGAACACAAATTCAGTCCAATCTTAAATCACAGAACTTACTCAAATAATTTGAGAAAATAAAAAGCCAAATGATCTGTACTATTCCTTTCTCGAAAATGTGCAAATCAAATATCTAAGGTTGCGTATAGCCATAAACTCAGAAATGTGGATCCCCTATCCAACCATGAAAAATCCATTCTGGAACACAGCTGTGTTTCCCTTTAAGAAGGGTTAACATCTCAACTTACCTTTGTAACAGACTAACATACGTAAGGAAAGTTTCCCCATTCTCATATAAGATGTACAGTGGGTATGCCACTACTTCATCTTTGCTTTTTTGTCCAAATATATTCTTCGGAATTGTTGCCAACAGCCCAAAGTCAAATGCAACTGCTGTCTCTCCCAGAGATGCAGTATATGCCCTTCTGCAAAGAGATCTGAAAATCAACTTGTTGAAAACAAAAAAACCTCATAGAACTGGAGTTGGGTAGGTATAAAAGCTGCATTCGATAGACTGAAAAGACAAAAGTTATAATCATGAAGAACATTAACACTGGAAAATTCTTGTAAAATTAAGTGAAAAAAGTAGGTGATAAAACTATTACACATAAAAACATCAACCATTTTCTCTGCGCACTAGGACTCATTCATTCCACTAATATTTACTAACCACCTACTCTGTGCCAGGCATTAGGTTCTGGAAATATAGCAACAAATTAAACAAAGGCTTTGCTTTCTAGTGAGAGACACACACAATGAACAAAAGAAACAAACATAAAATGGATTCAGAAAATGATGTTATGAAGAAAAATAAAGTGGAGCAAAGGGTACTGACAGAGATGCTATTTTAGGTAACGTGGTATGGCAAGGACTCTGATAGGTGATTTCTAAGCAAAGATCTGAAGGAAGTAAGACACCAAGTCTGAAGATATCATGGGATGGAGCAGCTGAAGAGGAGGAAAGGACACATGACAAATGTACAGTGGTTTTGCCATTTTGTCCAAATGTATTCTCTGGGACTGCCCAAAGTCAAATGCAACTGCTGTCCCTCCTAGAGACGCCAAGGCTCTAAAGTGGAAGGTAAGGAATGGCAAAGAGGTCAAAGTGGCTGGAGCCCAGGGCAAGTGGGAAGAATGAACCTGGAAGGGGAGTCAGTAGCAGACCTGAAGGCCCTTGTGGACTGTGGTAAAGGATCTGGGAAATCAACAGATACAGAGAACAGGGAAGCAGAGTGATCTGATTAAACCAGAACATCACTTTGGCTGCTGTACCGAAGAAAGGCCATATGTTACAGATGATTGCCATTTGTTTCCCCAAAATATTTTCTCTATTTCCCCCAATTTTATATACTAGGTATATCCATACATTACCTGTATAATCAGGAAGGACAAACTATAAAACCATACTCTTTTACATTTTAAAATTTAGTGTAACTGGTTATTCAAAGACTCTAATTCAGGAGGTTAATGAATACAGATAAAATCAACTTCATATAGTTTAGAACTGCAACATAATTGTAAGGCATTATAAGTTTCATACCTTAGTTTCTCTATCCTGTAGAAAGATATATAGTATAAGGTAAAAAAATGAAAAATCTGAAACATTACAACTGATCATCAACAAATACCTGAATTAAGCTAAAATATCAAGATAAGTGAGAACAAACACAGAAGTTAATTTAATGAGACTTAAATGACTCCCAAGCTATTAAAACCTAAACTGAAGCTTAATAAATACTGTAACATATTTAATAACAGTATCAGTATGTACTTACTCTGTGCCAAGCCCCAGGCTAAGCTTTCTTTATACATTATGTCATTTATTCTGCACAATAACCCTAAGAAATGAACGCTATTATCTATTATATTCATGGAATAAGTCATGGAAGTGAGCCTTAGTGCTACTGGAAAACTTGCCTAGATGCCAGAGTGGTCAAGTAGGAGAGCCAAGATTAGAACCCAAGTGAGTTTACATCAGAGTTAAAGCTCTGAACAACTGCATTTGATGTACTACTTCTTATACAGATAATGTATTACAAAGAAGTTAGTCAGCTATGGAGGATGTTGCAGGGGAGAAAATGCCCTGACCCAGGAACAGTACCAAGCCCAGAGGCAGGTATTTCCCTACAGGAGATGGATAAACTGGGACTTAAATTTGTCCTGTAAGACATTCACATCATTTAAATGAAACTTTCAGTTCTGAGGCCATCAAAGAGAATTAAAATGGTCCCAGACCAGTAGCAATCCCTGGTTCCAAGCAGAAGCAGATACAAATCATTTCTGAAATATACCCCTAATTCAGCTTTTCTGTATTTCCAAACATGAGGATCAGGTAAATGAAGTTCACCATTAGAGATCAACAATGATAAAACATTTAGCTCAGTGGTGTCACCACCTGCCTCACAAGCACAAGGTCCTGAGTTTGATCCCCGGTACCAATGATAAAGCAAAGACACTGCAGGTTAGGAAAAGATAAATATAGATTTAAGTTATCTCTCTACCAAGAGACTCCAGAAACTGACAAATATAAAATAAATATGTATAAAATATAAAAGCATTAAAGCCGTGTATTGTGGCACATGCCTGTAATCCCAGGACTCGGGAGGCTGAGGCAGGAGGATCACTGTGAGTTCGAGTCCAGCCTGGGCTACATCGTGAGTTCCAGGGCAGTCTCAACTACATACTGAGACCCTGTCTCAAAAAAAAAAAAAAAAAAAAAAAAAAAAAAAAAAAAAAAAAAAAAAAGGGGGCCCAAATAACAAAAGCTAAGAAAACTATTAGATGTGATCACCACAGAAGATAAGAACTAAATGGAACTTCTGGAAATATTCCCACTAAAGTTTCACATTACATGAACACACTAGTTGGGACGATGTGTGGTAATCACTGGAAAGACTGATCAGGAGGCCAGAGGAATGGGGTTTATAAGTTCAGAGAATGATTCTTTTATTGGTCAAGTAGTCAAGAACTTGTCCCTATGGTGGGTAAGAAACCATAAAAGGTAGGGTCACAGGAGAGGATGTTCCACTCTAGGTTATGCGATACTCGAAAGAAGCTGGCCTCAGAGTCCAGCAATCTGTCTTAGCCACACTGAGCGGACAGCCTTCGTCCCACCACTCTCACCTGTCGCCTATTCTACAATTTTGTAATTTTCTAACGTATTCTCTTACCCAAGTTACAACAGGAGTCAGTTTCTGACACTTACACTTTAGAACTTTCTTGAAAAGAGATCAAACTATTATAGCGACACCGATTTGTAACCTGTTACTTATTTACATTGCCTAGTTTTGCTTACTTCTCAAATTATCTAGTACATGCTAAAATCATCTCTAGAAAATCTTGCAATCTTGTTAAAACTTTATTTATAATCTCATAAACTAAATAAACACTATGTGACACAAATAAAAACTTACCTTTTATTGAGTATTAGACTTTCCTCTTCTGCTTCTGAAAGTAAAATCACCTTAGTGGGTGTCTGGGGTTCACGTAGAGAATAAATTCTAGCAATCAAAAAGAAGAAAACCAACACTTAAAATTCTTTCATTTCAGGCTGGGGATTTAGCTGGTTCCACTGCCTGCCTTGCAAGCGCAAGGACCCGAGTTCGAACCCCAGTACCAAAAAAAAAAAAAAAAAAATTCTTTCATTTCCCAAAACCGTACTTTTCTCTCCATCTAATCAGTTCTTGAGATTTTTCCTACCAGTTATCAAATGATTTCTTTGCCAAAGATCTTGCTATTACTGACAAAGTAGCCTACTTCTTTATTCTCAATGTAAAGTGGTAGTTTCCTTAGGACCCATGGAAATGTTTTCTACTCACAATTCTTTAGCAGCTTATTCCATACCATGGCATCTCCACCTTTCTCATTCTGAGCCCTCACCCACACTTTATGTTATGTTGCTGTCACCCCTAAGCAAGCCACCTTCCCTTCCTCTCTACTCGTGTGTGCTGGTCTACTGACATTAAGCCCAACCAAACGACTTCTTTTTTTTTTTTTTTTTTTTTTTTTCTACCAGGGATCAAACTAGGGACCTTGTGCTTATGAAGCAGGCGGCAGAACCACTGAGCTAAATCCCTGGCCCATCAAAGACTTCTTTATATAACAAATGCCAGGCAGTGTGAGTTACATTTAGCCGGCAATCTATACATGTTTTATCATATGAAGACTCCCTGCAATCTATACATGTTTTGTCATATGAAGATTTAATATCATGCTATTAAATTTTCTCATGTGGAAATATAAAACTTTCAAACAAAATCATTTTAATTGAAAGCAACTTATATCTTATAGCATATATGAAAATGTTAAAAGGGGAAACCACTTCCAAAAGGCTAGTAATGTCATTATTAGAAATCTAATGTCCTTTATACAGTCTTCATCAGGGCTGGGGTTATAGCTCAGCGATAGAGTGCTAGCCTACCATGTGAAAGGTCCTGGGTTCATTTGCCAGCACTGCAAGAAAAGAAAAGAAGGGGGCCAGGGGTTTAGCTCAGTGGTTCTGCCGCCTGCCTTGCAAGCACAAGGTCTCAAGTTCAATCCCTGCTACCAAAAAAGAGAAGAAATCTATAGGTCACCATTGGAATTCTTGGGTGAATCTGACATTTGCTAGTTGAGCATGTGAAGGCATGAACACATTACGGGTATCTCCTTATCAGGAATATCTAAAGGAGGCTTGCTAGAGCATCAGAAGAAAGGACTATGATATAGGTTGTCTAGTTTTCTGCAGTTACTGGAGGACAGCAAAGAGGATCTCAGCAGTTACCATGATTCCATGTGAAAGACCCCAACAGTTTGGTGAGAAGGCATAGGAGACACCAAGTTTGGAAATACTCTTATCTTGAGAGAAGGTTCTCAGAGAGTTGACAAGAACCAGTATGTCACAGAATTCTTCTGTGATGGAGTGAGCTGAAAGTTACAGTGTCCCCTAAATACACATGCACACCATCTGTGCAGAAACTACCACACAGAGGTCACAAGCAGCAGATGGAACTAGATTAATTAGGCATACTTCCCTATCTCCAACAAGCAACCACTTAGGTAAGATTTCTGCTTCTCCTACCCACCCTCCTTACCCCTGTTTTGAAGGACTTAAAATCCGAGGAAGGAGGAGGCAGCCCCAGTCCTTACACTCCACTCTATACTGCAAAATGCTAGAAAAAAGAGCGAGAAGAGAAACATTTTCTCTACTCATTTCAGATCCCTCAAAGCACAGGTCTAACCTATGAAAGGGCCAAGATATAGTTTAGAAAATGACTTAAGATCAGAGTTCTAAATTAAACACACTAAGTTCCAATAATTAACAGTAACAAGAAAGGTACAGAAGCTGTGTAAGATGCCATTAAGGGTTCAATCATCAGCAGGGGGGAAGGAAGATTAGACAGAAAAGCAGTGATTAGGAAACATAAAACTGGAGGTATTTGTACCTCTGCTGAGTTCTCCCAATAAATTTTTAAAATAAGGTGGATCCAGAAAACTAACTGGTAATTCAATAGAATTTTAAGCAAGATGAGGGCATTTAATCATAGAATTAAAAAAAAAAAATCAGTACAAAACTTAGAAGGGGATTTAGAAATAATTAAATTAAATATGTACTTTTTACAGACTGGAAACTGAAACACTCTGTTTCCCAAAAGTTCAAGATCTCAAAAATAATAAAAGTATCTTTGAAGCAAGAATTCCTCTCTCTCAGTTTTCAATTATATTCTCATCCCATTATGCTACATTATCACCAAAGGGTGACATGATGAAGAGTCTGGAGTAGCTCATTCTAACAGTATTGACAGGTCAAACTATGAAAGGAGAGATTACAGGAAGATGACTAGTTGAAAAGGAAGATCGATAATTAAGGTATGTGGGTTAGGGCACTTAGGCAATTCTTATGATTGAGAATAGTTTACGGCCATTATATAAAAACATTCCAACAAGGACTCATTTGGTAGCTACCCTGAGCTGTTAATCAGCCAACCCACAGCTTTCCCACTCACAAAGGTGTGAGAAGTAAAAACATTACTTACCTTATTACATTGTCTGATGTTAACAGCACTATGTGGGGATCCAGCATTTCACTTGGATACCATGCAGCATGTTTTAGAGTCAGAGATGTAGAACTGGTGAAAAATCTCTCAGCAATTGGAGTGGTACTAAAATAAAAGATAACAATTTCCCAAAACGTTATGTAGAACTTAAATCTTCTAAAGGTAAATCTATTTAATACTTCCTTCAAATTTCTAAATTTCTCTCCATCTTGCTGAAAAGCATTTGAACCACCTAATTATCACTGAAGAAAATACAGTTTAAATAAATGAAAATACAGTTTAAATAAAACATTTTATAGTGCTTTACAAATATTTTTAAATACAGCATTTTTTTTGATCCTTTCACTAAAGCTAAACTTTTAAGAAAACTAGAAGGAAAGGTACTGTCATTGTTATTTTGAGAAGCAGGAAGCAAGTGTGTGGTGGGTACACACCTCTGATCTCAGTGCTTGGGATGCTGAGGAAGGAGGATAGCCTCAGCTTGGGCTACACAGTGAGTTCAAAACCAGGCTGGACTACATAGCAAGACCCTATCCAAAAAAAAAGGAGACGAGGACACATCTACAAAATATTAAAATAGTTCAGCTGAGTGTGGTGGTGCATTCCTATAATCCCAGCACTTGGGAGGCTGAGGAGGACTGCCACCAGTTCAAGGCCAGTCTGGGCTTCATAATGAGTTCAAGGCCAGCATGAACCATACAGGGAGACCCTGTTTCAAAAAAAGCAAAACCAAACCACCCGCTTCCCCCCAAAAAAACAGGTCAAGTGGTCTCTCCTTATATACTGTAGAACTAACAGTGTTTTTATCTTACATTCTTTTTAGTAGATTTTTTCAGGATTTGTTAAAAAAGAAATTATATAAAAATACAACCTTGACTAACTTCTAAGCGAATATCTGGCTCTTGGACAATAACTGCTTTTAAAACATGTTATTTCTACCAACTGAAAGAATAGCCTGACTTCCAGTACGACAGCAATGTAATAATTCAGGCAAAATAAAAATATAATCACACTATAAGCATTAATACCTCAGGAAACTAGCCTACAGATCATGAGAAGGGCTCTGATGTTTCAATAGTAGTGTATTTACTACGCACATTTTAAGAAACCCTGGTCTTGAAAAACTTTCTGAATGTATTACAAATTATACAGATAAAACATGAAATGGAAATACAACTTACCTACAATTCACTGTTAATTTTCCACCTTCAAATTCAGAATTTTTTCCCCACCTTTTAGGTAATTCTAATACCATAAGTCCTTTAGTTCCTATAAGTGCTACATGATGTTGTGTCGGACTTAACAAAACTTGATAAATTTCAAACAGGGGTGGGTTTATGCAAAGCAATCTCTGAAAATTAAAGCAAATTGGTCACAATAATTAACTGTAATGTAAATACATGTGGCAAATACCTGAAAACACAGTAATGCTCTAGTTTTCCATAATGATAGAATGACAAGCATTATGGATAAGTATCAACACTTGGATCATTAACTAATGAAATATTTGGAACCACTTTAGATTAAAATGTTATGTAAAATCTATCAGATTTTTCCACTTTGATTAAAGATTACTATACCTGATTTTCATTTTTAAGATGAAGTTTCAGCCTACAACTCCAGTCTACCATTTTCCACTCACACTTTAATCAGATTAACTTGCATTTCTGGGAAATCATCATGGACTGCTATACTTCTATGTCCTTGCAAAACTATTCCTCTTCCTGAAGTGCCCTCATTTTTTTTTCAGCTGGCTAATAAGATCTAAACATTCTTGGGGAGTCAGTTTCTATGAACTCCCCCGCCCTAAATATCCCCTATCTTTTGGTCAGGGATTTTTTTGAAGTTCCACAGCACATTCTAGATAATTCTATCACAGTTTTTATCCTACACTGTCACTTTTACTTGTCTCCCCCACAGAACTCACTATAAAATACTTGACAGTACCTGACATATTGCTGACTCCCAACAGATGCTTAGTGACAGACAAGTTAACTCAAAATATTAATAAATAGTACTATAAATAGTACAATAAGATAAAGAATTGGCCTCAAGAGCTTTTGCTGTGAGCAGAATGCTGCTTTATCTATACAGACAATATAAGCTGACTCACCATTGTATGTCCTCAAAAAACTTGACTTTTTCTATTCACACTTGCTATTTCTTCTATGACCATCTCAAATTTCCACTTTTTCTTTCAATAAGTGTACTGTTTACCTTACATATAGGGAATAAGCCTGAGTGAAATCCTTTTTATGTCAGACTGTCCTGAATATGAGATCTCTAACTGCTACTGATATCTGTCTCTCAGTAATCTTTCCTGATTCTAATCAAACTGTTTTTTTCTCTTGTGATTCTTTCCTTCTGTTCCCTATACTCAACTCCCATCTTCTTTTTGCTTGATTCTGAGTCTAACATAAACCAAACAGAGGCTTCTTCTGAAACCTTGCTTCTCTTACACATACATTCAATTACACTAGTTCATTTTTAATAACCACAGTATTAAGATTTTTGTTGTTGGGGCTGGGGATTTAGCTCAGCGGTTTGGTGGCCTGCCTTGCAAGCGCAAGGACCCGAGTTCGATCCCCGGTACCAAAAAAAAAAGATATTTAGTTGTTACAAGTCACTGTCATGCTTTTTAACATTCAGGATTATAACTCATGATAGCTATTTTCTTTCCAATTTCTGAAATTTTCTGGAGGACTGAAGGTAATGAAGATGGTAACGAATATTTACTGAGAGCTTGTATGTTCCAGGCCCACTGCCAAGTGTTAGCCATAAAAAAATTAGTAAGACCCCCTGACTTAAACCTATGGTCTAGCTAAGGAAATTAGACAATAGACAAATAATTTTAAATTATTAAATTATTACTGTCAAATGCTGCACAGCAATGTAGAATGCTATTAGAATACTATGTGCTGGGACTGGGCTTGACAGGGAACACCTGTGTCAGGTACTAAGCAGGTGGAGGTAGGAGGACTGCTTGAGCCCTTGAGACCAGCTTGGAAACAGCTTTAAAAACTAGAAAAGAAATACTGTCTGCTGAATACGTGATAATTATTCCTAGCTGAAATTTTCAGCAAGTAGATTGTAGACTGTCAAGAACTGGTACAGTAGCATCTTGTTAAAATCAAATCACTTCTGTATAAGAATTATCTGCGGCACACAACAGATGTCATACATTCAAATGATTGCCATGTTTATTTTTAGTTTTAAAAGATAATTACAGATAAATATTTCCATAAAGCAGTGTTTGATTTTAGCAAGTCTAGAGTGCTTTCTATAATCACACTCACTTTCACACGTCACTGGCTTATCAAAAACAACTTTGGAGAAGGCCAACAGCATGAGCTCCTCTGTAAGTGGCAGTCTCAGAATTAATGAACATGCTGGCCAGCAAGAGAAATACGAGGAAAGACGGGCTTTTTCACTACAAGGAGGAGGTCCCCAAAAAGACGTCTGCTTACGCCTGAACAGCGAACCCACTACAAGATGAAAAACACGAGTTCAGATCCCGGCTGTGGGTCACTTCCAAGATGCCCTAGCCGTACCTGGTATTGGGAGAGAGAGGGCTCCTCGCCGCCACTGCTGAGGCCCCGAAGGCGAACCACTAAAAAGCAGCTGCTTTCTCCGTCCCACAGGAAGAGCTCTCCGCAGAGGCCGAAGACTAGGTTTCTCGTCAGCAACTGCGGCGGCAGAAGAGGCGACGAGGCCTGTGACGAAGAAGCTGGTTTCTCAGCTTCTGCAGGGCGCTGGTGTTTCAGTCCCTCCCGGAGCCGCAAGAACACGACGTGGTTGGGAAGCCAGGTCTGCCACAGATCGCCGTCGCTCACAGGTCCCTCGGCAGCCGCCATCTTGGTCCAAGTGCTCCCCTGAATCTAGTTGCTCAGCCCGCCGCTGAGTACAGCCAATCCGCGGCCAGCGGTCCACAGTTTCGGCCAGTCATCAAACAGGTAGCGCGGAAGCACGAGGCTAGCAGGTCAAAGGGGGCGGGACGAAGAGGTCTACGGAACTAGGCTCGTTCGGAGATAGCGCTGGTACTGCGAGAAGTCTGGTACTGTACGTGAGTGGAGAGACAGACCTGAGTACTAAAAGCTTATTGGACACTTTCCTCTGGATAAAACCAGCAATCTAGGACATTCCCTCAAGCCTAACCTTCCTCCATCGAGGTCGGGTTAACTTCATAAATGTCACTCCTTAAGCCATCCATCTTGATTTCCCCAAATTTGCCTCTGTATGGGTATGGACAAGAAAAAAAAGCTCAGAATTTCCTGCGATCTAAGCGAGATCGGCGCCAAAAACTACAACTCCCAGGGTTCTGTGTGCGCTCCTGGGGGCGGGGTTTTGACCGCAGTTCCAGAGAAGAGATGGCAGAGCCTGCTGGGTCTCACCGCCGATCGCTGTACAAACAGGTGCGCCCTCCACACTGGAAAGAGGCATTCCGGCAGGTGAGTGTGAAATTTGGAACATTGATCACTCCCCTAATTTGTCCCAAGGACTGTTCTCCGAGCTTGCGCCTCAGCCCTGCACTGTGAAGCAAATGTCGGAAGCGCCTGGTCACTGGAGGGCCATCCGAACATCTTGGCCGCTGGGTGTGGGGTTACCACGGGTGGGCGCAGTCCCAGATGGATTGTTTTTTGGATTCAGGTTTGTTTCAGATTTGAAGTGTGGCCAGAACCTCTATAGTACCACCCCCGCTACTGTTGTTGGGTAAGTGGTCATGGAGAGAGACGTTTTGTGTAGGTATGACATGTGAGATAAAAATTATTTTGATATCCAGAGAGGAGTCAGAATGGCTAAGTGTTAGCAGCGTGCACCTCACCTCAGTTCTGGTCTCTTCTGAAGTCAGCACAGTTCCCAGTAATACTTCCTCTTTCCCCAGAGATCGCTAAAGTGGTGGATACATCCCAGGAAAATAACTTGCTGCTATAAAGATTGTGTATAGTGAGCTTTCTGAAATGTGGGTGTATACATACATTTATTTACTTATTTTCATTTGTAATTTTCTTTTCTTTTTGGGGGAGTGGTGCTGGGGATTGAAGTCTGGCCCTTGTGCTTGCGAGGCAGGTGGCTGAGCCAAATCCCGGCCCCTATTTTATTTTTTTGAGACAGGGTCTTGAACTTACTATGTATCCCAGGCTGGCTTCGAACTCAGAGGTCATCCTTCCTCAGCCTCCGGAGTGCTGGAATTATAAGCATGTGCCAGCACACCTGGCTTGGTGCTGACATTTAGAGAGAAAGGATTCTTTGTCGTGGAGGTTGTTCTGTACATTGTATGATATTTAGGTGCAGAATTACTGGTCTTTACCTAATTAGATGCTGTACTCCTGCAACTAGAGTTGTGACAACAAAAACGGCTCCAAACATTGCTCAGTGCCCACTGGGGGACAAAATCACTCTGAAGTGAGGAATGCTGTTGTACAGGAAGGCTACTACCACAGCCATATGTAGAGTAGCAAGAATTTTGAAATAATCGAAATGTATTCTAATGGCCAGTGGATGCTGAGATAGAATACACCTAACCATTAAGGAAGCTGCTGTAGAATATGAAATGGATGAACAAAGCATGTAATTTTACCTGTCTACCATATGTACGGAGGACTTGAGAGGAATATGCAAAAATAACAGTAGTTAGGATTTTAGTTGAAACTTTGTGTCTAAGTTGCCTTTAATGTTTACCAGCTAATCTTTTTCTTTTTTTCTTTTTTTAATGAACCCCCCCCTCCCCATCCTTCTCGTTTTGCCCAAGGGATGTCTGGCAAGAATGAGAAACAGCCGGGACAGGCTCCTGAACAAGTACCGCCAGGTTGGAGGCAGTGCGCCAGGGACAGCTCCAAGTACCCTTCTAGTGCAAGAGGTGATGGAGGAAGAGTGGAACTCATTCCAGGAGGACTCGGCTCAGGTCAGGCTGAGACAATGTGTTTTCAGAGTGGGGGATTCACGCTGAGAAACTCCTGGAGTTCTCCTTGTGCCTGTCTACCCTTGTCTCTAACCTCACCTACCTCCCAGTGCCTCAGTAGAATTCTAATAGCCTTTGACCCAGGCTCTTCTGTTAGTGTTAAGATAGTTGAATTGATGGTTCCTCAATACTAAACCATAGGCCTGCTGCATCTTTGCATGATAATCAATTATGAAATTTTAAAAATTTTCATTTCTTTCCTTCACTCAAGAAATACTGATTTAATAAACATGGGCTAGGAATCTTTCTTTTAAAAGAAGTCTCCAGGAACATTTTGATTCCAGTTTCAACAAGATTTGGGAGCTGGGTGTGGATAGGAAACCATTTATGGTGTGTCAGAAAGAACACTGGATTGGAGGTCAGGAGTTTTAGAATTCTAATTCTGGTTCTGCTACTGACTCTTCATTGCCTCTGAACTTTAACTTTCACATTTATAAAATGCAGAAGATAATGTTGGTATTTTGAGGACTATGTAATGAAACATGGGAAACTGCTTTGAAACCATCAAGGCATTATGTAAGTGATGTGTTATTCACTGGCATTTGTGTGTCTTACAGTACACTGTTTATCTTACTTCAAGCACAGATAGTGCTCATGATAGTTTTCTCAGGTAGGTATTATTCCCACTGTACAGAGGCCAAAACTTAGGTTTGCAAAGACTAGGAACTTTTTTGTGGTCACATCGCCTTGGAAGAACATATACCTAACTGCTGTCTTCTACCTGTCTCTCCAAATTATTTTGCCACTAGGTGGTTTGATCATTTTTTGATGACTTCTCAGCCTAACCTCGATACCCCATTGTTAGCATATTTTGCAAGGATGGACTGGTTTTATCAGATGGGTATGGATTCTTTGTGCCACCCTCCGTGTATGAGACATTATGGAGCAGGGTGACAGATTAATACCTCAAACTTCAAATGACTCTACTTTCTCTTGCAGTTGGGGTTGTCGATTGACTTGTCTGTGCTGGAGGAAATCCAACAGGAGCTGATTGATGAAGGTAATTCTGGAAGTAGTTCCTCCTATATTCATTTATTATTTTTTTAATTTTTAATTTTTTTGAGACATGGTCTCACTGTGTAGTTCATTGTGCCCTGGAACTCACTTTGTAGCCTAGGCTAGTCTTGAACTTGAAGAGATCCTCCTGCCTCAGCCTCCTCAGTGCTAAGATTACAGGCTTGTGCCATCACGCCTGGCTTCCTACCTATATTTAGCCACTCTAATGCTGACTTTTCCTTGAATCAGAATTAGTTCTTAATTCCCATTCTACTTCCATTTTCAGGCATGTATCTAAAAGTCTTATTTTTACTCTTGAGTTTTTGGTTGTCTTCCTAAAGATAAGTCTCCATGGTGCTAGACTTTGTGCTGAAAACTTATTTCATATTACTGTTTTAGTACTAGACAGAGATCAGAAAGTGATGTTCTCTCACACCACACAGCTATTAAGTGCTGGATCTGAAGAGCCAACTAATTATTTTGTGAATCCAGCTCCCATGTTTATTGTATTAATAGGTAAAGCTGGGCACAGTGGCTTGTGCCTATCGTCCCAGCCAGTCAGGAGGCAAAGGTGGGAGGACTGCTTGGCCCAAGAGTTTGAGGCCAACGTGGGGAACACAGCAAGCAATAGTGAGCTGAGGATGTAGCTCAGTGGTGCTGTGGCCTGCTTGGCAGGCACAAGGTCTTGAGTTTCATCCCTGGTCTCCCCCCAAAATGGAGTAGTAATAATAGCAGTAAAAGTAAATGCTCTGTTAAGTGTCAGCTTTCGCCAGTGTCTTTGAACCATGACATCTCTACATTTCTGTTGCTGTAACCTCAGGGATGTGTGAAAGTTACTTCCTTGTCCCTCTTGCTTATGAGGAAGTAGCAAATACGACGGGGAGGGATCTAATAAGATGAAGCTAGCCCGAGAAAGCAGTAGATACCAGTGACTGGCAGTGCGGTTTTGTCCAAACCTTTTCCTTGTGCCTTTGAATGGCACGTGTGGCACTAAGTACAGGGCACTCTGGGGAAGCATGGTAAGGCACTCCCACTACCTTTTGCCTTGCAGAACAGTCCATAATCAGCGAGTACGAGAAGAGCTTGCAGTTTGATGAACAGTGTCTCAGCATCATGCTGGCTGAGTGGGAAGCAAACTCCCTCATCTGTCCTGTGTGTACAAAGTAAGTTTTCAAAACTTTCCCAGCATAATTGGTTCCTAGCCCCCACTCCAAGGTGAGTGGAACAACCCTGCTCCCCCAAAATTTGTTGCCTGAAAAGGCTTGGGGAGCCAGATCTGGGGAACCGTGATGACCTAGGGTCCCAACTCTGCTTCTAGGTACAACTTGAGAGTAACAGGAGGTGTGGTGGTATGTCAGTGTGGCCTGAACATCCCATCTCACGTAAGTGTTCCACACTGAGGTTTGTGCTATATCTTCCCACACATCTGCTTGTGTGAATAACTCCCAGTGGTGGGCTGGAGCCAGTTATGTACGTGTCTTTCCCAGTTTTGTGTTCAGTGACAGACATTACATTGCTCGCTTCCATCAGCTATGGTGAGAATACTACTCAGCATGGAAATGGGCAAACACAAATTAGGGCTCCCCCACACCCCTCTTGAGAGCCAGCACTGCTTCAGCTCTTTAAAAATCCCAGTTTAGGACCAGAAACACTTGTATCCAGTCTCCCACAAAAAAATTTCTGTTTATGAAGACACACTGATATTCAGAATGTAGGCATCAGTGATCTTAAAATGTCGAAGTCTTTTCTGACGTGAGGATTGCAGGTTTGCCAGTTCATTGAGCAGTTTAACAATTCCTATAATGCATGGGCCAGGGTTATGGTAGATGAGCCATGTGACTTAGTGGATATTTGGATAAAGTTGATCAAAGAGCTGATTGTGCAGCTTTAGAATTTTTCTCACCTTTTACCTAATTCCATAGTTTTTTTTTTTTTAACCAGGGATCGAACTCAGGACCTTGCACTTGCGAGGCACGTACAGTGCCACTGAGCTAAATCCCCAGCCCTCTATAGCATTTTTTTTTTTAAAGCAACTCATCTTTTCAAGTAAAATTTCTGCTTCTCATACAAATGAAACTTTTAATTCCCCTGTACAGTATCTATAGTTTACATAAGAAATAAATGTTACAGACCTAAGTTCAGTTAGTACAAAGAGACCTGAGAGCAGACACTGCTGGTTCTTGGTAAGGATCACTGGGGCAGAAGTTGAGGGAGGTTAGAAGGAAGCCAGCTGGCTTTGAATGTTCTTCCTGCCATGTGCAGCAGGCCAGAGCGCTGAGTAATCTGGAGGTATGGTTAAATGGAGACTGGTAAGAGATGTGCACACCCCAGAGTGCCAGTTATAGTGGTTGGTCATGAGAAATCAGGATTTTCAGCCTGGTAACTATCAAATAATGAAGATTAGTTTGTGGTTAAAATTTTTTTCCCCCTCAGTCTCCAGAGCTGACAGAACAGAAGCTTCGTGCCTGTTTAGAGGCTAGTTTAAATGACCACAGTGCACACTGTCCCCATAATACTGAATTTTCAGTCACGGATGGAAGAGAAGAAAAGCCCAGTCTTCTCATGACCTGTCTGGTAAGCTTCTCGGGGGAACCTGTCATAGGTAGGAGTAGGTTCAGTGGTTGGTTTTACTCCCATCCTAGTGGAAATGGCGGCCTAGAAACAGGTGAATGTTTAATGCAGTGTGTATTTATAGAAGAGTGAAGATCCTAAGTCACTTCAACTAAAAAAGACAGTCATTCCTGCAAAGAGAAAGGGACGAGGCAGCCTAGGATCAAAAGCACTTGTGTGGGAATTGAAGAGTCTGGCTACACTGCCTGACCTTAGATCAGCAGCAGTAGTCTTGGGCTCCAGAGGTCAGGTCATGGTCCTAAGACACAGATGACTGTCCTGCACCACTTCTGTAGATGGATACAGGACAGAAAGTACAGCTTTGTCTCAGCAAGTCTTTACCAAGGCTCAGGGTTACATGACAACTTGGGTGCCACCTGTATTAGCAGCCTTACGCTTGCTACAGGAACCACTGACATTATAACTTCTGTATCTTGGGTAAGGGGAACTTTGGGATTATTGAACACAGCAGCATGCCAGTTATCAGTAAAATTTGACCTCTCACATAGAATCGGCCATTCTTTCATAGGTCAGGGTGTCACAGCAAATGTGAGAAGCTAAGAGGAAAAAAAGACAAAATTATTCGCTAGCTTGTGAGTTCAACATTTTGAGTAGACATTTGGAATGTTCTAGAATCGGTGTGCCAATAGGCCTGTTTTTCATTCGAGGAAGTTAAGAAACTGGGAGAAGACCCAGTTAAGCCAAGCCATAGAACAGTTCATCGCAGATGTGGAGGATGAGTGGAAGACAACAGGTGCGGCTAGAGTGTGGTAGTGTGAACAGGAGATAGGAGTACGTGAGATCGGAGGACAGTAGTGTGAAGCTGGGCTCCAGGGTAGAACGCGCTACCCGTGAGCAGGGTCCTGTGGTCCTCCAAAGAAAACCGCGTATCTTACCTATGGAAGCAGAGACAAGGTTGGGACAGACAGGATTCCCAAGCATACTGCTAGCTGAGCAAAGAAGCAGGTGCATATATGCTCAGACGCTACTAATCCTGTAGCTCAAGAAAGGTCTGGTGCAATTGATGGGCCTCCAGGTTTAGCTGTAGAGAACATACATGGGTTCTTTTGCCTCCATGCGTTTCAGCCTTATGTTAACCGGTTTTGGGGCTGTAAAAGATCCAAGCTGTCAAGTTTTAATTCTGGTCACTGGTTCCCAAGGCTGAGGCTTTTGATTGTTATCTCTAGGACTTGATTTTAGCGTAAAGATGAGACATTGCCTTAAAGGCAGCTTTTTCTCTTCTGAGGTATGCCCCCAACTCTTTGACACCTGAGTCTCAGTTGCCCATGCAGCGTTGGATTTGCGGTGCTTCTGCCTCAGAGTGCTCGGATCACTGGTGTGCACCACACCTGGCACTCACAGGCAGCTGTGTGATGATGTAGGACAGAAGATTGCAAGGTCAAGGGTGGGGCTTTTCAGTGGCCTCTCTGACAAACAGTTCTACTGAATTCCAAACTGTAACCTAACTTGTGTGGCACCATGCAAGGTGTAGGAATTGCACTTGTAGTATAAATGTCATTACTGAGACTAAAGTTTCATGATTACATTTGAATGTATACCAACTTTACTTTGTTTCAATCCAGGCTTGTGACACTTGGGCTGTGATCCTGTAGCTTGAGCCTGAACTCACATCGTTTCCCTCTGAGAAGAGGCCTTGTACATAGACCTTTTATTAAAAAAGTATTTTGTATTATAACTTTTTCAAACACCTCTACTCTGAGTTTTGATCCAAACTGAAGAAATAGAAAAGAAACTACTCTGGAGGAGATAAAACAATTTTAATGTCCATAATTATGTTACAAAAAAACCAAAACCCTAGAAATAAAATCTTTGAGCGCAACAGCAATAATTTAAATTTGCTATTTTTCCCTCCATGATGTTAGGATGATAACCACCGGAAAGTACGGGCAACTGGTGCCAGGGTAGGTTACTCCCTGACCAAAGTCTGCCATAAAATCAAGGCCTTCAGTGTCTCTGACTACTCTATTGGCTCTTGATAAAGCTTTTGAGGTCTTCAAGAAAAGTAATGTACTCCTGATGCTCCAGGGCTGTGCTGAGCTCCACCAGCTCATCTGCAAACCTGTTGTCCACTCCCCGGTCAGCCAGGAAATCCATTAGGTGATCATACAAGGCCTACGGAGAAGAATGCTTAGTTGCTACTTAAAGACAATCTGTAACACATACTCATCAAAATGTTTCTTCCTCTGCTTAGACTAAGACCCTTCCCTGCCAGGCCTGAGCAGCCCCATCTTCTCCAACACTCACCCAGTCCAGGGAATCTGTGTTAAGTGTGTAGTTAGTGTCCTTCCATTCAGACTCTCCTGTGGCCTGAAAGCTAACTTCCTTGATGGAAAAAATGTCACTCTCAGCCTCCGCCTCCTCTTCTCCAACCTAAGAAACAATATTTAGGGAAACTAAAGGGATTTCCAGGACAGGCCAGACTCCAGCAAAGACAGGCTTTGTAACCTGACACCAGGCTGTAACCTGGTTTCTGCCACACCTGTCTGTCTCCTGCTTTGCCAGGCTGGAGGGTCTGTAAGGATCTGCTACAAGGGACCAGGGAGGTCCTAGGAAACACTCTGTCATGGGGGTGCCAAGGGGCTGGCATCGCCTACGTACCTCATCCTCTGAATAGTGACAGTCCAGTACAAGGGCCTTCTTGCCATCACTCTTTGTAACTTCTACCACAAAATTGGGAGTTGATGTCAGTTCAGGCTGGGGAAACAAGAACAAGTCATTACATGACACTGTTGGAAAGGGCCTGGGCCTGTGCCTGAACCAAAGGTCACACTCGTTTCAGAGTGTGTGATGGCCACTATTTGGATATTACAGTATTTAGTCATTTTAGAGTCTTATGCTAGAGTGTTCCCAAATAAAAATCTTCAAACAAACTGCTCAACAGTGTCTCTCTTCTGTTTGCGTCGTATTTTATTTTTTAAAGAATATTTTTAAAAAAGAACCAAGACCTGTCATGTAAAGGTATAAGATTCCAGTAATGAATGTAACTGTACTGTCTACCTAAAATGTACCAATAAACTCAATAAAAAGGAAAAAAAAAAAGTTATAAAAAAAAAACAACAACAACCCTAGAAATAAAATCTTTGAGTGCAACAGCAATAATTTAAATTTGCTTTAGGGCTGGGGATTTAGCTCAGTGGTTCCTCTGTCTGCCTCACAAGCACAAGATCCCAAGTTCAATACCTGGTACAAACAAACAAACAAAACAAAACAAAAAACAAACAGAAAAAACCTGAGTTTAAAATTAAGCCTGAATTCCAGCCCCAGCTTTACCAGTTAATGGAGATCTAGATCAGTCCTCTCTTTCTGGGCCTGCTTCTCCATCAGTACAATGCAGAAGTGGCCTACACTTCTAAGACCTCTTTCCAGTTTGGCTGATTAAGTCCATCCTTCATCATGGTATTTTTTTTTTGAGACAGGGTCTCACTACGTAGTTGAGACTGAACTAGAACTCACTATGTAGCCCAGGCTGGTCTCGAACTCACAGCAATCCTCCTGCCTCAGCCTCCCCAGTGCTGGGATTACAGGCATGCGCCACCACACCCAGCCCATCCTTCATGGACTAGGCATACCTGGCTCTGGCTAAGTGGCCATCCTAATGGTAGCAGCTCTCCCTGGGAGCAGGCTGAGTCTAAAGTCAGGGAAATGCCAGTAGGGGTGGCCAAGACAAGCACACCAGAAAGTTCTGTTCTTCATGCTAATTAATGAGAAAAACATGGCTGCTCAGCTGGTGTGAGGACCCTGTGGTCCTCATACTGATTGCTTTCCAGGACAGGCCCTCTACTTCCTAAAACATTTGAAGATGGCACCCTAAAGATACCACCAAAACAGCAATCAACCTAAGATCTCACCTGCCCAAATATTAGTCTTTGACACCCACAATAATCTTAAATGGCCGGCATTTATTGCTAGCTTTTGATATGAAAGAACATTTTTTTTTTTTTTACCCTGAAAACACTCTATCAAACATCTCCCTGTCATAGAAAAGAGTTTCAGGAGTTCAATCCCCGGTACCAAAACAAAAATAACCACAAAAGAGTTTCAGTTCTTTTTCTTTTTTTTTGGTACTGGGGATTGAATTCAGGACATTGTGCTTGGAAGGCAGGCGCCGAAACCACTGAGCTAAATCGCCCAGCCCTCAGCTGTTTTCTATTAAGAGTCTACAGGCCCAACTGTAAAGCTACAGCCTGCTGGTGGCAAAGTATTCGGTCCCCAGGGAAGAAGGAGCCTTAACCCACCAGAAATCATACATTGCGCTACATAAGTCCCAAGGATGAGTGTCCTTCACCATCTTTCTTCCACAGTACTAGCATTAGAGGAATTAAAGAAAAAAGAAATGGGCCCCGATCCACCGCAGGAAGGAGAACCACGCCAGCTTCCGACCCAGCTGCCATCGCTCAAGCACCGGGAAGTAGCCTGGGCCCCGATCCACCACGGGAAGGAGAACCACGCCTGTTCCTGACCCAGCCGCCATCATTCAAGCGCCAGGAGGTAGCCTGGGCCCTGATCCACCGCGGGAAGGAGAGCCACGCCTTCTCCTGGCCCAGCCGCTATCGCTCAAGCGCCAGGAAGGTAGCCGCTCGGGTGCCCCTAAACCCCCATAAGCCCCCCCCACTCAGACCTCCTGACTGTGCCAGTCTTGGGACCCACTCTGCAGAGGCAGAGGTGGTCAGCAAGGGTATTTTTCTGAGTTCCCAACTTTGAACATCTTTAAAGAAAGGGCATGGGAAACCTGTAATAGAACGTTGTAGAGTTCAACCACATTCAGAAGGTTGGGGAACTCAATCTGGGCCTTGTGGCCCGAGGTCAGTCAGCATCATGAGGTTCAGCCATCAGCTAACTGAGATCAGGGGTCTTGCATCCTCGTTCTGTCTGAGCCATTAAATGGTAAATACACTATATTGAAATTTTGTTCACTGCAGACATGTTCTGGACTGCTTCTTGATTTCAATTTAATTCAAATGATTTAAGGGTGATAGACTAGTGACTACCACCGGTGGTCAGTGTCCAAGTTGTGCTTGATCTTAATGTGTTGCTGATTGTATCAGTTGGGATAAAGCATTGCGGATGATCTGATGAGCTGTTTTCTCTGATGTTATGAAGACGAGAATGTCTGTGGGTCATTAGAGACACAGAAGCTAGGGTGCAACTATATCAGGAAGATTTGGGTGATAATCCAGAGATTAAACCAAGGAAAGTCCGACAACAAAAATAAAGATGAGAAAACACTTAAGCAAGACACAAGGACAGACTTCCAGTTTACCAATGGCAAACAGTAGGGCAAATGAGGATGAAAACGCCAATAGTAAACCACCAGGACACGCTGAACTTACAGCACAGGAAGTAACAAAACAGATCAATCGGGCTCTAGAAAAATTCAAAACAGAAATAATTTCCCAGATAACCATAGAGATAGTGAGCAAAATGGAAGTCGTGATTCGAGACTCTAGAGCAGAAACTGACAAAAAAATAGATGAGCTCAGGACCATGATAGAAGCCATGAAGGCCCAGCATAAGAAAGAAATGGAAAAAATAAACGCCCAACATAGGAAAGAAATGGAATCCATAAAACAGATTCAAACAGATATCCAGGAGATTAAACACTCCATTGAAAGTGTCCACAACAGAATAAAAGAATGCGAAGATAGACTCTCAGATATAGAAGATAAGATTGCAGTGACCATGAAAAGAGAGGTCTCTTAAAAACAGTAAGGGATCATGAGAAATCGATCCAACAACTCCTACTAGATGATGCAAAGACTGATAGGAATACATGAAGTAGCAGGAGAAAATACAAATGACTTTAAAAAGTTGTTCGCAGAATTAATGACAGAAAACTTCCCAAACAGAGGGGAAGAATTTGACATTCAGATAACTGAGGCATATAGGACCCCAACTAGCTACAATAAAAAAAAATCTACACCTAGACATATAATAATCAAGATCCCAGAAACCCAACAGAAGAACAAAATACTACAAGCAGTAAGAGAAAAGAAACAAATCACATACAAAGGAAAGCCCATCAGAATCACAGCAGACTTTTCAACACAAACCCTTGGGGCAAGGAGAGCCTGGAATGAGATATTTCAAGTACTAAAAGAGAACAACCTCCAACCTAGACTGATGTATCCTGCAAAACTCTCTTTCAAAATGGATGGGGAAATAAGACACTTCCACGACAAAGAACACCTGAGAAACTACATGAATACCAAACCAGCACTACAAGCAATTCTAAACAAGATCCTAGAAAAAGACAATGAAGGCAACAACACCACGAGGCCCAACAGAGCAAATCAAATAGGCAAGGCAAGAAATTAAAAGGAGAAGGTGAAAAAGTAAAAAGAGTCAACAAAAGGCCAATAACATGTCAATAATAAGTCAGTGCATATCAGTTATAACCAGCAATGTCAATGGCCTCAACTCACCAATCAAGAGAAATAGACTGGCAAAATGGAATAAGCAAAATCCAATAATATGTTGTATACAAGAAACACACCTAGTGCAAAAAGAAGCCCATAGACTGAAAGTGAAAAGATAGAAAACAATTCTCCATGTGACAGGAGCCCAGAAAAAAACAGGGGTAGCAATCTTATTTTCAGACAAAGTAAATTTCAAACCAAAACTGATTCTAGTATTATTGATGTAGGAAGGTACTGTATCATACCTCTATGAATGTAAAATATCTTGTACCTGCTTTATGATTCATAGTAGGGATCGTGCTTTATCAGAGCTACATTTAATGATATTACTCTAGAATGTTCTTTTTCCAGATGATGATTAAGATGCTAATAAAAAAAAATGGTCCCAGGTACCACAACAGCAACAGAACTTTGCTGTTTTCTGGATATTATTCTTTTCTTTGTTTGTTTTGTTTTGTTTTTAATGGAATGTGCTGAATGTCTATAATTTTGTTCAGATGACTGCAGAACCTGGAAAAGCTGTTGCTGCTATTGATGTATAACATACTACTATTAGTCTTTATATATATATATACATATATATACATATATGTATATATATGTATACACACACACACACATACATAAATTGAATTTTGGGAAACTTTAACAATGCTGCCAATTTTGGAAAAAGTCATCCCAATTTACTGTGTTGAGTTGGCATTGTATAGAAATGGACAGCCATATTGGTCTAGAAATGTTAATTAATTAATTAATTTATTTTTCATATGTACAGGGGTAACACATCGTACTAAATATGGAAGGTCATATCTACGTGGGTTTGATTACAGAAACTAATAAAGTATTCTCTAAATAATGAAAAAAAGACTATAATCGCAAGAAGCAATTCAAATATGTTCGGGGACCATTTTCATCTCCAGAATTAAGGATTATTTTGATGTTACATCATTGCCTTTTCTCTTTTACTTTCCTTTTTAGTTTTATTTTAGGATTACCTATTTTTAATGTTCATACAGAGATTTCTTTAACTGAAATACCGAATAGTTTCTTTGGTGCGAAAAACTGTAATAGTACACAGGATCCTAATGAGATAATTAATAATGTGAAATAGGAAGTAAAGGGCTAAAGGTGTAGGGAAAGTGGGAAGGGTGGGGGAAAGGTAATAAGGGAGAGGAAAAAATATGAGAAACAAAAAATGGAAATAAAGTGTTTGTAAATGGGGAGGGGAGGAGGGGGTGAAGGGAGGGCAGGGACAAGGGGAAAAAATGAGAATCAAGACCTATTATGTAAAGGTACAGAATCCCAATGATGAATGTAACTGTATCGTATAACTACATTGTACCAATAAACTCAATTAAAAAAAAAAAAAAGAAAAGAAAAGAAAAAAGAAATGGTCTTTTGCACCTGCTAGAACTGACCTGAAGGCAGTCTAGATAGAAGCTTACCTCCTGTTCTTCACTCTTCTGCCCCTGTGAGGTCTCCTCCTCAATATCTAACGTTGGTGGGATGCTGTTGTTAATGTTGAAAGTGACAGTGATTCTAGAAAGAGAAACAAAAAAATAGGCAAGGCATAGCTTTAACTAATTAATATAACAAAAGTATAGAGGCTTGTTGAAACAGTGCCTCTGTCCCGGCTGGCTATTATGTACCTGGAATTATCTGTAGGATTTCAAAACAGGCTGAGTGCCAGGCATGGCGGCACACGCTATAATCCCAGCACTTCGGAGGCTGTGGCCAAAGGATTATCATGAGTTTGAGGCCAGCCTGGGCTATACAGCGAGTTCAAGGTCAGTCTGAATTACAGAGGGGGAACCCGTCTCAAAAAAAAAACAAAACCACCAGGCTGAGTACCTACATCAATCTGAGAACTCAGTCTGTATGCTACCGTGAGCCCATTATGTGCCTGTTAATGGAAGTTAAATTAACAGGCCCTGCCCACAGGTACAGCCCAGTGGTAAATCACTTTTCCTAGCATGTACAAGGCCCTAGGTTCCATCTCCAGCATAACATTACAGGCCCTGGTTTATCTCAGTCATGCATAGGCTACTTCTACCAGGTCAGTGTCCCAGAGCTCACTGCCACACGTTCACTGGTTATCCAGGCCACAGTCAGCTGACTCTGCTGCTCTGATCTTTGCAGGGAACCCTTCACAGGTGTAGGTAAGTAGCTTTGAGGCTGGAGCCCCCTTTAAGAATTTTTCTCCAGCCAGGTGTGGTGGCACAGCGCCTACAATCCCAGCACTCAGGAGGCAGAGGCAGGAAGATTGCTGTGGGCCTGAACTACATAGTGAGACCCCGATGGATGCCTAACTTTATGAATACTTAGAACCACTGAACTTAATAAAAAGGCGAATTTTAAGGCACATAAATCTCACCGAAGCTATTATTAAAAGATTCTAAATGTTTACCTGTGATGTGATTATGGGTAACTACACAACACAGAACAGTATAAACAGTTCAACAGTTTAGGGGAAAGAGGAAGAGCAAAACTAGTTCTTGAACTGTCTACCTTTTTCTGATAGCCTTGCTATACTGTAACCTCACAGGGGCTACAAGTCTTGCATTTTCATTTACTATAAACAGTAGCACTAAAACAAAACAATAAAAAAAGCACTGCAGGGGCCTGTTTTATTTATTAGAACTGTAAACCAGAGATCAAACTGATTCTCTCTGTACTTCAAAAATTCCTGGGTCAGGCATTTGGCTCAGTGGTGCTGCGCCTGCCTCACAGGTGCAAGGTCCTGAGTTTAATTCCCCATACAAAAAAAAAAAAAAAAAAAAACA